TTCTCGAAAAATTGCGTTGCTCCCATAGCGTGAATGAGCGAGATGCTCGCAACGCGATTATACTGATCTTCTTCTCTTACACAATTATAATTGTAAATTCGTCGCATCCAAATTATTTGCCAGCGAACGCACGCCTGTCGATGGACTACAAATTAACGTCAAACATTGACGGATGAACCGACCGAGTGAGCAAGTCATCCGGTGGTGTAATTACGAATGGAAAAAGAGCAGTGGGTGCTGCGAAGAGCACAGCAGCGCGTTATAATCCGCGACAAAGCGCGAGCTTGCCAGAGTCGCGTATCATTATCATGATTCGGCTTTAATGGCTATATAATTTCAAAGAGCAATTAAAAAGGGCGAGCGCGCCGCTTTTCAGCGCTGCGACTTTTGTGTAAAAGAAAATTTGCGGGCGCCCTCGCGCTAATGCATCGAGTTGCCCGCGCTAAGCGGCCCCGAGGGTTTCCGCCAACGCAAGGAGAGAAGGGCCAACTCGGCGGACGACGCTTCCGTTTTACGAGGGCGCGAATTGACGGACGCCCTTGCTGCCGCGACTGGCCTTATCGCGCGGGCGTTTCGCCCGATGGATCGTCCATACGTCAATCTCTTGCTCTACGAATGGTCGCTACATTAATGCGTTTCGGATTTGCCGATAGAGCGAAAAATAAACAAACAAACAAAAAACAAAGAGAAGACAAAAACACAGTTTCGAGTGGACAGCCGATCGCAGTGGTGAAACGACAGCCTCGCAATTATCACGTCGAGCGAGAAAATTAGTGTTGTCGGTGTATCGCGATAGCCTGGCCTTTCCAATCTCCCCCTCTGTGGGCAGATGTTTTAATGACACGTTACCCTTGCGGCGCTCGAGCGCGATTTCGAATACGTATCAGTTTCGCTAAACTGTGTCAAGCAGAGAGTTGACGCTCGCGAGCAAGCAAAGGCAAAACAATTATATGCGAAATTGCTCGATGGGCTTAGCTATTTTTGGTGCCTTTGAGGGGCGGCACGAGGTCGCGTCGGCGAGCGGCGCGAGAAATTTTTCGAGGCAGGACGAGTCGCGCGAAACCTCGTTCATCTTTCCCATCAACTCTCGGCGAAAATCGAGTTGGCTTTCCTTTAATTTCGCAGCCGACGAATCAGGCCTCGCCAACGCGTCGCAGCAAGGCGGCAGCGTCGAGTTTTCTCGTTCGTTCACGGGTGTCCGAGTGCCCGTTCTCGCGATTTCGGCCGGCCTCCGCTGCCGTTCGTTCTCCGTCGTCTTTTTTTTTTTTTTTCACTCGTTATTACGCTCGGACCGTCGGTCGCGCCCACGCGATCCGGCGCACGCGCTCGCTTTCAGCTTGAGCGTCGCGCTCCGAGAAATTAATTAAAATTCGCGCGCTGCGGGCTCCGCGGCAGTCTCGCGCGATAAGCGCGAACGCGCGCGCGGCAGAATGTTTCATTACTGCGATTTTCCGCCCCCGGTCCCCGTTCCGCAGCCTCTGAGCTCCGGGAAAAGCGTGGGCTTTCGCGCGAGTAGAACCAGTCGAGCCGGTTCGGCCGTTTCGCTTGATGGAGCGGGCCGCGTCGGGCTTCGTCTCGCTGTCGACGCGGGGTGAGGCGTGGGCAGAGGACAAGTGTCGACTGTGGCTCGCGTGCGCCATCGCGGCCGATCAGCTTTCGCGAGGTATCCGAGCCAATATCTACTCGCTTCTCGCGAGCGTCAAAAGCGACGGCGAAAGCTCGCGCAGGAACGCGGATAACCGCGACGTCGGTCCCCCGTGACCATTAATTTTCATCCCAAGTTCAGAGCAAGTCGTCGTGGTCGACCTTGGGCCGCGTAGATTCGTCGCCAGTTTTGTTGGCCCGCGGGGATGACTCTATCGCGACTCATCGCTGCCGCGTCCTCCACCGTCGAGCACGACCACGACGACCCCGAGAAACTCCGCGGAAGGGACAATTGTCGTCGCATTTCGTTTTGCACCCAGGGCGGCGTTGGTGCGGATGTACAAACGGGCGCGGCGTTGAAATCACCCGTCGGAAACGCCAGCGCAGAAAAGTGCAGCCAAGTTTCGTCGCGGACTTGGACGAAGCTGATTTTCCGCTGCGCGATTCGCGGACGACCGATCGTCGCCCTTCTTCTCGGTCGCCAGCGGCGAGCCCTGCTCTCGAAACCCACCAGCTCGGGGATCGCCTGCTTCTGGCCAGGCTGTTCGGGCGTCGCGGGTCGGAACTCCTATTCTATCAGGCTACGCTTCGACGGCAACGGGTTGGCTCGTTCGCAGCGCGAATCGTCGCGAAGCGGTTGGATCGACGGCGAGCCGAGCGCCCGCGCGTTCGCTCGGCGCTTGCTTCTGTTCCCCGAAGCGAAGCGCGGATCTCGCTCTGAAAGCTCGCGACCAGCTGGCCGCTCGATCGTTTCGGCGAGACCGAGCGCCCAAGCGGATTTCGCGTCGTGTATTTTTTGCTCGCGTCCCGCCGGCGTTCTCCGCTGAGATTTTCGATTAAAAGTTTCGGCCGAGCTGACGCGACCGAATTTTCGTAATGGTGCGCGTTGTCCGATACGCCCGCGTACCGACCCGAGGTAAATATTAAACGCGCCATATTGGCCCTTTCTGCGCGATTTTTAAGTGCTCGAGGCTACGCGCGCGGATTTGCATTTAACGACGCTCTCTTTTATGCTGCACCGTGCAAACAAAACTCCACATATCGGATACGTACGTAGCTCTCGCGAGATACGTGTAATACGCTCTCGTGTATTTCGGTTGTTGGCTCGCAAATTTAATGCCTGCTAATTGCTCGCGAATTTTCATTGGATCATTGAACAATGCCGAACGAGGACGTACATGACGTTTAAAAATTTTCCGATTTTCTGCGATTCCGCGTCATTGTTAGTATTAATCACACGATATTGATTCTCGGCAACTGTAGTGCGCCGTAAATCAGTAGTGGCTTCTCCGCCATCGATATCCGTGTACAGTCCATTGGAGAAATTTCGTCGCGACATGCCTTTAATCGTTTGCCTAAATTAGTCAAGAGCGCTCGAAAAAGAAAATTTATCTTGGAATATTATTCGTATCTGGAATGTGACTAATCAATCTCGGCATGATTTGAGCAATTTCTTCGTAAAATAAGAAAAAATTAAAAAGGCAACTACAATTTCTAGCTGTCGTTTATATTTACGTGAAACGTCATCGATTGTTTTTTAAAATGTTCTTTTATGAAGAAACCACTCCACTGAAAACATTCAGTAATTGATAATTTTCTCAAGCACCTTCGATTTATATTTTAGACAAACGACTGGAGGCAAATCACGGCGAAGTTCCTTCATTTACCGCACATCTATGGATGTCGATGGCAGAGGGAGGGAGCTTTCATATTTGTAACGCAAACGCAATGCTAACCATTCGATTTGACGGTACACAATTAGCCATAGGAAAACTCCGACTAGCGAGACTTCAAGTGGCAATCAGTCAGTGTAAAGCCGAATAAATCCCACGCTACTAGCTGCAACAAACGAGGCGGTCTTAGAAAGTCTCAAGCCGTAAGCGATTTTTCAAGGTGCCACTAAACGAGGCGCGAGAAGAGAACACGACGATTTGCCGTGGCTGACCGCGGAGGCTCAGCTGGATGCGAGTCGACGAATCGTGGGGTGAAAGAATTGAGCGTGACTCATTACCAAGCTCGCCAAATCCCCGCGACCTGTCGCTCATCGGAGATCAGACTTTTTGCGCAAGCGTTTCCACACCGAAGCGAAGAAGCGACGGTAGTGCGCGATCGCGCGAAACGATGATTTATCGCCGTCGGATATACCGAAACCGGGCGATCTCGTCATTCGCAGTCGAGCGAATTGCAGTCGATTGCAGTCGGGCAGTACGTGCGCCCGGAAAATTCGCCGCGCTCTCAAAGCAAACGTGGTCGTCGATCCAAGAGAAATTCCGAAGAGCGTCTCGAGCTTTGGCAGCCTTACTTCTCGCGGTCGCGCGTGTGCCGCGGCGCCTCCTTGCCTCGCGCGAGCGTCGATGAAAGAGGAGAAAAGGAAGAAAAGAAAAAAACAAGAAAGTCTTTCTGCACTCGGCGATGCAAGTGAAAATGGAATCGCTATCGACTGGCTGCGCGTAGATGGATTTTTCAGCGCTTTCTGCGTCGCTCGTTATCCCGGGCTGCGCGTTATAAGGCCGCACCAGTGTCGCTGGCGTAAAAGGACGAATGGCTTTCGTGCGACGTCCTCTTGCCGAGTTCGCGGCCTCGGCGAGTGAATGGGCATCGCCCCGAGAGGCCGCGAATGACGCGCGTTAAGTAAGAAACATTTCGATGCGGCTCGATTGCTGTATTGAATTTGTCGTCGTTACAAAGCCGTACAAAAGCCGTCTGGCTTGTCACGGGCGAGAGGACAACAAAGAAGCCTCGCCTCGGGCGTGAAATCGAGCCGCAATTGTATTAATCACTCGCGCATTCGCATAATTCGCAATGATTACGGATAATCCGATCTCGGGCGACGCGTCGCATCGAGAAAGCCGATCGCCTCTCCGCTCGGGGAGGCTATTCTCTCAACGGACGGGACGGGGAAAAACAATTTTCGCCGGCGCGTTTCAATTTTAAAGTGGCAATTCGCGCTCGCGGCTCCTCGCCGAGAAGTAAAGGCGCAGCGTCGATCTTGGAATGCTAGTGCGGAGCGCCGTATTACGCACCTCGTCTAGCGGCTAAGCGGGTACGGCCTGACACGCTGCCGCCCCGACGATGCCCAGCGAGATTAAATGTTTTACGGCTTTCTCGGACATCGGCGTCTTTATCGGCCGAACGGCGACGACAGCCAGCCGTTCGCCAAGTCAGCGAATATCGAGTTGCGACGACCAAGTGAAGCGGAAACGTCAAGCTGATTCGCGTACTGGCGGTCGTGCACTGTTCGGCCGGCGCGAGACTTACGTTGCCGTGTCGTAGCCTCGATTAAAAGTCCCGGGACGAGCGAGAAGGAGGGCCCAGCGATCGCCGGCGCGGGGGGCGAGGAGACGGGACAGACTAACCTCGTGGCCATAGCAGCCTCGTGGGGGCCGGTCGGCGCTGCAGCTGAAACCAAGTGGGCGACGTCGGAAGCGGGAGGCGCGCCGGGGCTCGCCGTGTGCTGGTGCGCGCTGGCTCGAAGGCGGACTGAGGCTCCGCGTGGCTTGCTGCCACGAATATACATAGGGGAACCGGTTGCGCGCGACCAACGTCACGCAAGCGCAGCTTTTTCCTCTCCCTCTCGCTCGCTCGCTCGCTCTTGCAAGCGCCTTTGTTCGCCGCCTCGCGCGCCGCCTGCCCGAGATAATAAAGCTCGATTCCTAACGGGCGTACGCTTGTTGGCTCTCCAAATAATTCGCCCGCCTTTTTCCGGCACTTTCCTCCCGCCGGCTGTTTCTCTTGCTGCGGCCGCGGGCCGCCGACGACGCGCCCGTCGATAAATCCACTGTTTTCAATTCAGCACTGCTCTAATAACACGCCTCGCGAAGTGAGCCCTCGGCCGCTGATCAAATTTTAAGGCCGTCAGAAATTGCACGCTCTCGCTTTATCCTAATTGCAGCCTATTCTTCCGCTTTGCGCGCCTATATCGGATTCGTTGCGCTTCGTTAAGTCTATAGGTCGCGTCGCTCGGCGTTGCGCCGATGCGCAATCGCGAAAAACCGCCCCGTCAATCGTTCCGTTTTTCCTCGCCCCCCCCTGTCGCGCTTTTGCCCATATAATCGCTCGTCGACGTTGCTGAGCCACGGGTTTATCAATTCGCAGATATGCAGCGGCCGACGAGCAAATTGATCGAAGTGCACGGCGCGTAAAATGATAAACGCCAACGAATCCGTTGTTTTAAACGCGCGCAACTGCGACCGACTGCCGAATTTCGAGTCACGCCGATCGAATTGTCCACTTGTTTCGCATGCTGAAACAGCTTTACGAAAGTAGATGCGTTCACGACGACTACTTTTTCTTGAAACTTGTCGCGACTGTGGCAGAGCGATACAAAGTCAAGCGACACGCTGACGCCTGCGAATAGTCACGAAAATAATAGAAATTCTCTCTTTTCTTGAAAATAATTGTTGGAATCCTCGGAGGAGAAGAAGATAAAGCCTTGCTCGAGTCGACGCGGGAAAACCGGAGAACAATAGCGTCGCCTTGCTAATTTTCTTTGCTGCAGGTGTGTAACAGTTGCACTCTCTGTCTCTCTCTTCCTCCCCCTCTCTCACTCTCTCTCTCTCTCTCTCTCTCTCTTGGTCGCCGACGGTGTTCGATAACGTGAAATCGCGCTGCTGGTTAAACCAACGCGTAACAGCTAATTACTGCGCCCCCTTCTTTTCGTCTTTCTAATGGCCATCTGAAATAAATGCTACGCTCGTGTTTTTTGTTTCTTTTCGAACAATTACGCACGCGCGAGACAGCGTGGGATTTTCGTATTTTCTCGATGTACGTGATATTTTTCGAGAAGAAAAGATAAAAAAAAAGCTATCCAGTCTATTATGATCGGCTTATCTAGATGCCGCTGATAAGAAAAGAAGACGACGCAATTAGATTTCAAAATATCGAGAGTGGCCCCGGGAGAGCGACAATTCTCGATTGCACCGGAGCTGGAAATTCGTAAAGGCACGCTTTTCTTATTCGAGAGGCTTCGTCTTGGCTGCGCGATTGAAATGCGACCGAGTCGCGGGAATTGGCATTGGCAGTTAATCCCGTGAAAAATGTCCGTGACTTTCCGGAAGTTTAACTCTGTCAAACTCTGCTCGACTTTTTGGCGACGAACTAACCGGAGATGTAGCCAAGTGGTGTTTGCGCCGCGAGCGGCACGAATATCAATGTAGGTGTATTGGCTCGGTGTCGCCGCCGGTTCGTTACGCGTTTGATAATACTCTCGCTGCACTGCCCGAGCGTCGAGTATTTCGACAGCTTTTATGCTTGGCTCAGTCCGTTCACTGACCGCTGTACACATATTTAGACGCAAACCAACGTCCGCTGGGCGTTGCGGGCTGCGAAGATTACGACCTGAATTTGGCAGAAAGAGGACTCGCGCGAAGTGCAGCGGTCTAGCGACTAACCAACTTTACAAGCCAATCGAACTAACGTCAGTCCATTACAGTCGAAGAGGTCGAAGTGGTCGAAGAGATTGCGGATGGGACGGCCGCTTGCATAATTAGAAAACGCAAACGAGGCGTGTTTTCCAGCAGCAGAGTTACCTGGCCGCCTGTGATTATCGCGCGCAGCCGAAAGTGGCTCTCCGAGCGCGTGGGGCTGCCAGGTAAAACAGGGGCGATTCGAATCTGGCCGCCGAAGCCGAAGCGAGGCTCAACGGGTTCCGACGCGCTCGCGATTCGCTTCGGGCCGTCCGGCGCGGGGATGGACGCGGCGCTGCGTCGCGCTGTCGGCGCACCGCGCAAGCAAGTTGCCAGCATCCGCTGCACTTGCCGAGGAAAACTTCTCGGTCGTCGTGATAAATTAACGAATTACCCGGCCGGCCATTGCCATAAATCTTGCGCGGCCGAGAGTAGCCCGCGTCCGCAAAAGACATTGGCGCGGCGGGAGTGGGATCGCAACTGGCGCGTCCCCGTCGACGACTCAGCGGCATTAATTTCGGGATCTGTCGGCGGCCTCGTAAGTCTCGCGAAGCACCCCTTTGTCCGTCGCCTCGTTGTCCAGGCCGCCTGACCGAGCGTGGGCTCGTTTGAAACACGGCGCCCAATCGAGACGGACGCGGTCCCGCTGTACTTTCGCACGGTGACTTCGACGACACGAGGATGCTCGTCCGCCTGTCGCCTAATTAGCCGAGTCCAGCGGGCGGCGCCGGGCGCGTTGTCGAAATTTAACGAGCTCGCGAGCACCGCGACGGGCGCGTAATTAGCCGGCGCGCTAATATTCGCGACTCATTAGCCGAGGCTCCTGCGATGGCGCGCGCGCGCGAACCGCGGGGCTGATTCGCGCTCCTGTCTACGGGTATCGAAGGTCCCGGAGTCGCGCTCGCGCGTTTCCTACGCACTGCAGCGACCCGCCTCGACGCTAAATCACCGCTGGTTCGCCGCGGGCCAAACAGCTGCACCGATAATACTTCAAGGCTGCGCGGCGCCGCGTCCGATGCATACTAATGGCCACAGGGAGAACAAGGGGTCGTTCCTGGCCCCTGAACGCAGCTCTGGGCACCGCGGCTACTTCGGGAAACGGGCGCCAATCAGTATTTCCAATCAGCGGCGCCTGCGCACTCCAAGTAGCCGCCAGCCCTCGCCTTCGCTCGACTGCAAATGTCGCCTCGCGTGGCCGCTGCTTGGAGAGGCGTGTGCGGCGCGCCGGAGGACCGAGAACGCGATCGAACGCGCGGCAAATCGATGCAGTCCCCCCGAGGCGCTGTCCCAGCTTGGCGTGCGCGAGGAACTTCGAAGCGCGCGAAACGAGGCGGCTGGCTGCGAGCGACGATCAATGATTCGCCGGAGTTGGCTGTTATCGTCGGCCGACGGGGGTTCCGCGGAGATCCGCCGCGACACGGCTGGACGCGTCGCTCGCTCTGCCGGCAACGAGCCATCGATTTGGCGATGCGAGCCCTTCCGGTATCTTTCGAGAAGATGTCGCTGGGGTAGGCGGCAAGCTGAAAAGCCCCGGGGTTCGACCTCGAGACCTCACACTACAGCCCTCTGGTGACTGCGAAAGCTTGCCATTCGTTGTTGCGTACCATCGGTGGGAACGGTTACCCCTTCGTTGCGGCAGCGCCGACAATTCAAACGGCTCCCTTCTCTTGTTATACACGTCTTTATTATCGTTTATTTACACGTAGGTGCATCGCGCACCAATGAAAAAAAAGTCAGCACTATTTACAACAACGACGATCGCGCACAGTTGCGCTCGTCAGAGCAGAGTCCTACGCTCATAGGTGCGTAACTTCCTCGAATTCGTTGTAGTGGGTGGCGACGTGGTCGCATTGGTGTATCACGGTCAAGTCAACTATCTCGTCGGTGTCCTCCTCGCTGCTCCTTGTGGCCGCGCTCTTTTGGCTACCCGACGACACTCGACTGGAGCGCCACTGCGACTGGCGGTCGGATATCGCCGGCTTCACCGTGATCACCAGGTTGGACGAATTGGCCACCATCATGTCCGTCACCTGCGAAACGCGCCTCGCTTGCAATTGGCCCGGCGGTCGAGGAGTCGCGCGGTCACGTACCTGATCCAACGTTCTGTCCACGACGTCGATGCCGTTGACTTCCAGCACCTCGTCGTCGACGGCCAGCAAACCCGTTGCTTCGGCCAAGCCTCCCGGCACCACTCGGCTGATGAACACTCCCTGCACTTTCTCGATGCCGCGATTCGCGTGCAACCGGTAACTATCGCCATTCTTCACGTAGAAGCCCAGCGGCTTGTCCATGCTGTGCTTCAAGATTCTCACTCGACGGCTGGTCGCCGGCAGGATGTCCACGTCGATGATCGCCGACACCTGCGGTAGAAGTACGTCGACAGTGTAGTCGGCTCGGCGGCACGCGCACGCCCAACGATCCACCTACCTGTCGGAAATTCCGGGGCTCGGATATGACCAAGGGCTTGGCCTTGGCTGCTGCGTTCGTCCAGATGCTCGACATCAAGGTCCTCGGCTTGCTCGCGCCGCCGGCCTGGCTCGCGTCGTCTTGGCATGCAATCAGAATGTACGATACAGCACCGACGCGCGAGTGCACGTGTCCCACAAGCCGGCCTAGCCAGCATCCCCGGGAGCCCCTCCCGTGCGCGACGCGAGCTTTCGAGAGCTCTCGCCCGCGGAATCGCGCGCGCAGACTCTGGAAGAGAGATCGCCCCCCACCGGGAAAGCAGCTCGCGTATACCTTGTCGTTGAATGTAGACCTTCAGCAGCGGCCTCGTCGTGGCGATCGCCCTGGCCAGGTTGTTGTCGTTGGTTATCGGTAAGAGGTCGTTGTCGATCGGATCGCTGTAGCAAATGATGAACTTCGTGTGCTCGCCGATGCCGTGCTTCTCCGCCAGCGACTTCCGGAACTCCTCGAAGCTGATGGGACTGGCGTCGGCGCCCATGCTGATCGAGAAGCGTATTATGTCGGCTTCGAACTGCAAGCAGCGCGTTCGATTGAGCAACTTACGTCCCGTGTCCCGACCTGGCAAAACAGACTTACCTTGCTCTTCACAGACACGATGTCGCTGTCGTTGACCCGAGGTTTGGTCATCTTGTTCCGTCCGCGAGTCCGCGCTCGGCCTGCAAAACAAAATTCGAGTCTGAACCAGCGACTTTCCTCGCTCGTTTCCTTCCCACGAGAATCGCTCTCTGCAACGTCCGTCCGAGAGACAGCGGCGACCGCGACGATCGCTCCGTTTAAGAGCCCACTATCTTGTCCAAACGTAATGGCATCGAGGTCGATCTGGTCTGCCGACGTCGACGTTTATTTCACCCTTTTTTCTACTTCTCTTTAAGAGCCAAGCGGAGGAAGAGCACAGGTGCAGCTAGGTGGTTTAGCAGGAGAGAGGCCCCGAGAGTCAAAACCACCGGTTATTTTTAGTTTCCGAGACGCGACCTACTAAGCCCTTTTTTAACGCATTTGCACTGTTCGGCCGGTAAACTTTGCAAGACCCATTTGTATTCTTTCTTCGACATTGCGAACACTGCTAAAGTGTACAAGTAAACGTCTTTTGAAATAATAATAAGAATTTGAATTAATCCGGACGCGTCGTTAAGAATAAGTTTTCAAAACTCATCGAATAAACGCTTGCTGGAAAAAAAACAAGTTGAAAAATTGAAAACACGGGACTTACCTGTACGCTGAGTAGCTTTCTCACGCTGTTTACAAGCCAAAATACGGAAGTTCCAGCGCGTGCTTCCACTCTCGTCTCCGTCTTCGCACTGGTAGCGTGTTCCCATTCAAAAGCAGCCCCTCTTTCCATTCAGTGCCCTCCTCCCCCTCTTTCAGCGCTAAGCACCGTTATATACTTTCTGCCTGTCGGCATTCTATATAAAAATCAAATGCTTCGGACTTTTGTGTTTTCCGATACTCACTCGTCCCTGCTTTTGTACCTTGATCGCTTTACTCCTCTTCTATTTGTTTTCTTATTTATCATTATGTTACTGCCGAGAATTTCCATTGACAACTAAAACTATATTTACGATTTTGTGCAATTTTTTATAAACAACGAAAAGACATTTCATTTATGATTTAATTTGTTTTTTATCAAACAATAAAGTTTATCAATATTTATCAAACACACCATTTCGTCAGCATTCAAGTCTCCTCGGAAATGCAAAATGCACTGTTGATTCCCTTCCAATATTTCACTTACTTTCTCTGCCCCCCCTCTCTCTCTTACACAGCCAAGTACAGTATTCATGGCAGGTAAAAACCCTCCTTAACGAGGGGTCGCTGCGTCGTTTACCTGTGCATCAGACTGATGACTCATCTTTACAGTAGGATCCTAGTGCCTTTGATTTACAACAGACAATTTATAAAATATAGCCACTGTCAAAATATCAGAGATAATTAACGAAAATTTTCGGAATATATACTCTCAATATTGCGCTTTTATTTTACAGGAATAATTAATAAAACATACATTGAGAATTTTACAATAAGCAATGTTTCAAATAGCTTCTTTAACAATCATCTCCGTTAAATGATTGATCATACAATATAAAATAATTATAAAGTTTAAATATCTAATATCCATTGTATCTTAACTTCAACAGAAATACAATATACTAACGCAGTCTATGCGTAAATTTCGAATAAAAACAAAACAAATTTTCGTTGAAAAAAATAGAAGAATCTTAATCAAAAGTAATTAATTCAGCAACTTCCGGAGACTTTCTCTCTTCTTCTTGCTTTAAAGTTGACATCGGTTCTTGTGGTTGAGGTTCTGGCTCCTGCTGTTGTTGCGGTAGTTGTTGCTGAACGGGTAGTTGTTGCATCTGCGGTTGTTGCGGAGGCTGTTGACTTGGCTGCTGTTGGGCTATTTGTTGTTGATGTTGTTGCATTTGTTGATGATACATCTGAGCTTGTTGAGTGAGAGGTATTCGAACTCCAGACATCGCTGCCATGTGTGCTCCTGCTATTCCTGGTATTTGTTGTGATTGGTTGGGTAATTGTTGCGGTGGTCCTGGCATTTGTTGTTGTTGACTTGGTATCTGTGGTTGTGGACTAACGACCTGTTGTGGTGAACCTTGCATTTGTTGAATTGGTGCTTGCATCGGGCCATTGCTCGATGGCATTACAATCGGACCGTGACCTGGACAAAAAATGTTATGCTAATTCTCATTCGACATAGATTTTATTTATTTTACTAATCATTTTGTAGAAAACTGCATTGAAAACTAATTTTAACAGTAATGTTAATTTATTAATATTTATTTATCTGACGATAAAGGTAAAATAAGAAACGTTTATATAGACGATTTGAAATTATTTTGTCGTTCATATCGAATTTGTGGTCACTATATCCATATAGAGTAAATTTCGTTTCGAGGTAAGGGTAAATAATTACGAGGTTTTTGTCATCGAAAGTCGGCCGGAACAAGAATTACTATCGACAGAAGTGCGACCATCCTTGAACCGTTTATACCACTCTTTTATTCGTGTTTTGTTCATACACTCGCTTCCGAAGGCCTTTTGCATCATTTCAATAGTTTCCAAACTCGTTTTTCCGAGTTAAAAAAAACTGGCCAAAAACCATTAATTAATACAGCTGTATTAATAGGTATTGATAGCTGTATTAATAGGAATGGGTTATTTCAGAAAATAACCTATTCTTATTAATGCAGCTCTTATAACTTCAATATAATTTTGGATTTGGAATTTGCGGGAGCACAGAAAAGAAAATTTAGATAATTTTGAATAGTTCAAATAGACATAAAGCTATTTACTTAAAATTTTTTAATGGGTTATTTCAGAAAATTCCTATTAATTCCTAATAATGCAGCTCTTATAACTTCAATATAATTTTGGATTTGGAATTTGGGGGGAGTATGAGTTTTCTTCAACATTTGGGGGGGGGGGGGGGGGTACAAATTCCAAAAAAGCAATTTTCGAGTGGTACAAATTAAGACGAAGCTAATGGTATATATTTTTTTTTAAATCAATCATTTTTCTGCCAGAGTCGTTTCGATGCTTACATTTTACAAATTGAAAGGGCAAGAAATTAGCTGATTTTATAGATAGTATAAACAAATCCAAGACACTAACGCATGCTTGTACTTGATTCCTCATCTTTTCATCTGATATATTAAAAGTTAAGCATTGATAAAAACAAATTCAATTCACCTGGCATAGGCATATTAGCACCAATAGAATGAGGAGGTTGTCCAGGTATCTGTCCAGCCATAGCCATTTGTCTAGCTAGTGCAGCCTGCATCATTTGTTGGCGTTGTTGTGCCTGTATCATTTGTTGACTACTGGGCATCATTTGCGGTGGAATTTGACCTGGTGCTGGTGGCATCATATGACCTGTCACAGCCATGCCATTCGTAGGAATGTGTGTCACTGGTTGACCAGTTGTAGGAATGTACGTTGTTGTGGGTAGACCTTGTAAAGGTGATTGTGATGGAGGACCTCCCATGACAGGTATTTGCTGCGGAATAATTGACTTTTCGTTAAAACTTGCATTTTGTTATTTTACGAGATTTGAAAGGTAGTTTTTTAATTGTATTCATACGATGATACCATAACGTATACATTCACCAAATAAAAAAAAATAAAAACTACCTCCAAAGAACACACAAATTTAAGTACTATTTTGCTTACTAATCCCGGTCCAGATACAGTTACGCGACCAAGACTCTCGTGATTCTGTTTATTCTGGCTCTCTTCCGCAGGTGGTTTAGATTCAGGTATAGCTGCTGGATCGATCGATTGTGGTTGATGTGGATGCTGAATCATATAATTGGCTGGCACTTGATATGTACCAGTAGCAGGTGGATAGGCATACGCAGTTGCAGGATTCGCTGCAGGCAAAGAGCTATAAATTGCTTCGGAATTGGAATATTGTACTTGCCGGACTGGTGAGCCTTGAGTTGACGGACCCATGAAGTCAACTGACGAATATCCAGCTATACAATCAATGCGTTTATTAGTAATTAATCTTTTATATTTAATTATGAATAATGTGGAAGTATTCAATACGTACACATTTTATATTGTTGTTTTTGTTGCTCCTGTCGCATTTGCATTTCTCTTTCCTGTTCCTGAATTCTGCTAAGCGCCAGTTCACGTTGATACTGCAGATATTCTCGTTTTTCCTTTCGCATGATTTCTAATTTCTGAGCCATTTGAAGCTGCTTCTTTCTGTCAGCTTCCTGCTTTTCCTGTAGCAAAGTTAAGCGATGCTCTTCGCGTAAAGCATCTAAGGCACATCTAGCGTCTTTGATTTGGGTTAGCTTGTCTTGCAATCCTTCATAATAGACTCTCTTGTCTTCTTGGTCTTGAATATAACGTAACAGTCTGGAAATAGAACAAAAAGAATATTAATCACTTTGGTAAAATAAAATACAAGTGCATGAAATTGATGTAATTACTTTGAATGCAAAGCAGTAATATTCATAAATAAAGTTTGAACAGAGCTGTCATTGGCAATGGAACGTCCTCTCGACGAATCACTCTTCATCCTATTGACAAAAATCTCAACTTGTGATCTCAGAGCATCTACAAAATTCTTCATCTCAGGATCAATCTCGCCATTCTGTTGCTTGATAGCAATGACTTTCTGCGGCATTGGGCTACTGATGTTTGGAGCTGATGGACTGGTGACATTTAGCCTTGAGGTTTGTTCTTCTAAAGCTGATTGGCGTTGTTCCCAATATTGACGATCTAAATACTTAGCTAAATCTGGATCATATTCTTCTTCTTCTTCTTCTTGGATTTTAGGACTTGGACTCTAAAAAATCAAGTTATTTTTGAAGGAAGAATTTCATAGTTAATTTATAATGTAAATAATTGAATTTACTGGAGAAGGTGGAGGTGAATAGTTGACTTTTGCAAAAGCAGTTGAATTAGACGTAATAGCGCTAGTAACACGCTTCTTTTCTTTTTCTTTATGTTCAGCTTCGCTTTGACTCAATGCCAAGGCAATTTGTAATTCTTCTTCCTCTCTCAGTTCTTCATCAGTTTTTCTTGGTGGAACCTGCCAATCAAATCATTGTAAAAAATATTCATAATAAATTAAAAATAATTCATATAATATTTGTCTAACATTCACCTGTTGTTGTTGAGCTAGCGAACTAGTAAGATATTCAATTGGAAGGTCTGTGTCCTTCGGAGTTGTTGTTACAATAGGCCTGTGAGGAATATCATAAGCTAGTAATTTTTATCTACAACATAATTGAAAGAATAACAAACTGAATACTTACTTGTTAACTTGATCATAGCAAGTAATGCACACACGAACTTCCTTTTCAATGCCATACTTGGGTAATACGGAAAATTTACCAGCACATTGATTGCAAAACACTTGTCCACAAGCTCTGCAATGATGCTTACGAAGGAATGTAGTAAAATTCTCCCTACAACGGTGACATTTATCACCATCCACCCATTCAGGAGCTATGTCAGCAGAAAACATAGCATCACTGTATTGCAAGTCAGGGAACATAAAATTTTCAGCTTTCATTATTCTCATTGTATCCTGCAAACATTCAACTCGATATAGTGACACATTTTATCATATTTTGGCATAGCCATAGAAAAGAAACATACATGAACAGCTCTGTACTTTGGATTTTCTCTGAAAGCATAGGCCCAAGCTTGAATTAACTCTAATATTTTATTCCTTACAGGTTCTAAGTGCTGTGTTGTTTTAGCTATCTCTTTCAGCTGTTCCATATACTGCTTTGTGCAGACTTCATTCTGAATCAGAGTACCACAATTTTTCACACAAGATTCTAAAACCTGTGATCATAATGAATTACTACAGTAATACATTCAATATTAAATATTGTAATAAATATCATGTGAATAATAATTACCAATAATCCAAAACTAGCTGTATGTGGATTTTCAGAAGTTATCTTTTTGTTTATAGCAGCAAGAGCATTTTTTGGTCTATAAAACAAAAAAAATGAATCCTTACTTAATCAGAAAGAAGGAACAACAGCAGCTCCACAATATTAGTTTTCCATTGCATGTATGCACAATGTATAATAAAAGTTTATCATGATTTTTACACTGACGTGCAATCGTTTGATAAATGTATGTATATTATACTTAAAAATTAGTAATAAGATGATTAAATGCCAGTTGCTTTAAAGTTGCATAATAATTCAGTTAGGTGTGAATTTAATGAGAACTCAAAGTCAAAGCAAGTATAACAAAAACGTTACGTCGTTGCAAATATTCTTCAAAATTGAAAACAATAAAGCCTTTTTCAGGTTATAACGATTGACAACGATTAAATATACTTACGAAACATCTCCTTGTCTAATTAAATCACAAATACTCAGAATTGTTGGCCAGTCAGGGTCAAGCATCAAGTTGCTCGTTGCTTTTTCTGTAATTAAAGAAACAGAAAACGTTGAAATGTCAGATACAATGGTTACGTTTTCTTAATAACAAAAAAGATGCTATACTGACCGAGCAACTTATTAAAATTACTGCTTAAGCCGATTAAAGGCATTTTTGTGAAAGGTAACTTGATCGAATGCAAAACAATAAATTTTTAAGAAATTACGATTCGCTGCTGTCTCCGAATGATTCACTAGCCCACGTCACAAACACAATAAACACAATCATATGGATATATAATGACTATGACAACTAGCGTCACGATAAAACAGATATTTAATTTATCGATTGAGTTTTCTTTAATTTTGGCGCGAAATTTAAAAGTATTGAGATTGTGATTATGTATTTTAATTAATTTGTATTCATATAACTAAAATTAAAATACCCATTTTTTTATAAATATGTAAACTACTATTTATTTGTCATTTTTAATGTTATTAATTATAAACATACAACACTTTTATAAAAAGATATTAAAGCAAAATAGAACAGTTTGATAAATACAATACATTAAAATGTTATAGAAGTATAGAAAACTCTACATATTAGGCATACTTGCACAGTATACAATTTACCTGTGGTTATATGACTTGAAATATTTTTAAAGCTTTGTCTCGATTAGACATATTACATATGGCTCTACAACAGTATAGTCTGTATAAAGTTTAATCAATATTAATTCACTAATAGTATTTTAACCATAGTAAATAATAATTTACCTACCAAACTTAGTTATTTTTTGTAAGAATCATTTAAGCTTAATTTAGCTATGGAGTTAAGAGCAACATCATCAGCATCATCATCATCTAATTTTGAAAAAGCCTGAAATTAAATACATGTAGAAATTGAATTAAGATCTCATGAATTATTATTTTATAAAACTGATATTTACTGAAAACTTTTGTTTTTCTACTTCAAAAAAACTTATATTTTTTACACGCTGAAGTTCCTCATCTTCCTGTACAGAAAGTATTGATTTTAATAAATTAACATTTTAGTAGAATTAAATATATGCACTATTGAATCAAATTGTATTAAAAAAATTTACCGATGATACATCTGGTTTTGTTTTAATACGACTTAACTGAAGGCCTTTTTCCAATTCTTTTTGTTCTTCCCACTCTTCTAATTTTATACTTGGATGCTCTTGATTCTGTATTAAAAATCAATAAAATATAATAAATAGTAAATGTTGCTGAATTTACATAGTTTAAAATTTAAGAGATCATTGAATACGTAACTTACATACGCGAGACTATAAATTTCACTAAGTTTTAAAGCTCTTTGAAGTTGCTCCTCTTCAGTTTCACATTAATTCTGAAATAAGAATTAGAGTTATAAACAAAATCATAAAACAATTAAAATATAGCCTTATCTGTAGAATTTACCTCGTTTCTATAATTTTTAGAACTGTTGCTTTCAATCCTGTATTTATATAAAACAAATTAAACATATTTTTAAAATGTTTCTTTTGCAGCTAGATTTAGTGTAAAAACTTACGAGTCTGTTAATTTTTTACTGTAGAAATCTTGTTTTTTCTGCTTTTTAACTTCTTTAAAACTATTTTTGAGAATTTCTCTACTTTCTTTGACTTTTTGCAAATCTGGATGCAATCCAGGAGAGCTTCTTTCAAAAATATTTTCATTATGGTTACATTTTTTTTCATACCTAAAATTTATAATAATAATAGTGTACAAATAGTAGTTAATATTTAGATATATATGCCAAATCTACTTGTGTAACTACTGTTTGCATGTTGCACAGTTGTCAGGATTTCTTAACTGCAGAATTTCATCATTTTTAATAGGTTGCTACAAAATTCAAAATTTTCAAAATTATTTAGAATTTGCCATGAAATTTTTTTCAACTAACCTTTCGTTTAAACATCTCTTTTTTTAAATTTTTGTACTCTTGCAATTCTTTTTGAATTGTAAGCCTACTTTCTCTGACTTTTCTTAGATCAGCAATCAATCTATGAGACTCTGTAAACTTCTCTTCATGTATAAATTGAGATTCTTGTCTAGTTTATAAGAAGAAAGTATTAGTTAAAATTGTGAATAAAACGAAGCAAAGGTGAATATATTATAATATATATTAACTGGTTTGAAATGTTGCCATTATCTTCTTCATCAGAAGTTGATAAGCCAAGAGACTTCTGATGTAGTTTAAACTGTTTCTTCTTTTCTTCCTGAATTTCCCTTAAATTTTTTATAAAGTAGTCCTCTCTATTCTTCATATCAATATCAACATCAATCTTTGAGTCTTTGTTAGAATTTTGTTTGAATACTCCTTGACTGACTAAATTACTACTCATATCACGCTTAAAGTTGATATTAGCATTATTGGCCTTATTAATAATAATAAATCTATAATAAAACTGCATTATATATTTGAAAATATTTAAATTACACATACATACACATTGCTTTTTTTGAGAATTTAAGTCTGCATCTTTTTCAAAATTAGGGAATACATATCCAGCAGCTTGTAAATTCCTGAATAATTTCTTGACAAGAAAAAAAATTTTTAATTTAGCAAATCAAACAAGTAAATAATAATTCTATGAAGATATTTTACTTGAGGGGCAGAGTATTGAGGTAAATGTTTGAAAGTGACAGCCCACATTTGAATTAACTCTAAAATTTTATCTCTTATTATTCTTTGTTCGGTAGTCTCAACAATATCTCTCAGAAGACACATGAAATCATCAGTACAAATAACTCTGTGGGCCAAGTTGCCACAATTGTAGAAAATTTTTTCTAATACCTAGACACATAAAAAAATTAATATAACAAGTTAAAACTAAATCATTTTGATGATAATTTTTAGCAAATTTACTTTCAACGCAAAGAATACTGTATGTGGATTATCATCTGTCATCTTGCCATAGAGAGCCTGAACAGCATAGGAGGACCTATAAATATTATTTATTTAATTACATTTTGAATGAATTTGTTTTTTATCAAATTTGACAAACTTTATTAAACAAGTAATATTTAAAATTTTGAAATATAAAATAATTAATTAAAAATACTTTGTTACTTTGATAATTATTTATTAATAATAGATTAATTACTCACTCTACTATGCCTTTATCAACTGAATAGCATATTTTTTTAACCGATTCACTGTCGGGCTCTAATTGCATAGGATTAGTAGCCTTATCTAAAATGCAGAATAACCAAATCGACAGATTACGAACTCAAGATAAGCATTTATTCAAAAGATTATAAGAATCAAATAAATACCTAAAAGATTGTTAAAATCATTGAAAGTCCCCAATTTTAACATTGTTAAATGTATCTTATTATATTATATATGTACGTTGAAGAATAATCTTATACTATATACGGTGAGAGATGTTTATACATGCACTTTGCATTCCACCGATTTCTTTTTTCTTGGATTGGTGACGGACACTCATATCCGATTCGTTACACCATTAGCAGATTTTCAATTGTTTTCGTCCTATTCTATTCTACATGTAGTGGAGGACTGTGAAGGTAGCCCCCTCGATTGTAAGGGAAATTGTGTTGAAATAATTTTGACAACGGTATTAATTGTCCAAATTGTTCCTGATATCGGTGATAATTTCCCATTTTCGATTTGTCAACGGAAAATGCGTGAAAATCATGATTTTCCTCGGTACATGAACAGATTCGTTTACTCTAATAATTATTGTTGAATTTTTATATTTGATAGCTCAAAATTAAGGTTTTAATTTCCCTCGACAGCCTCTCAAATTGCATTTCCTTTTCATTGCACAATTTTCAAATTAAAATTATTAATAATTTTCGTGTCGCGAGTGGCGGGAAAACGGTGTCAGTTCATATTTCAGCATTTTATTTCCAGCCAGGGCCGTATATGAAGCATTGCAACGCCCATGTTTGACGGGTATCGTGATTTTCACGCATTTTCCATTGACGAATCGAAAATAGGAAATTATCACAGATATCAGGGATAATTAGGAAAATTAATATCGTTGTCAAAATTATTTCAACAATTTCCCTTACAACCGAGGGGGCTACCTTCACAGTCCTATGTATTGGTTGGCTACGGTAGTTATGATAGCGTTTCCCATAGGGTCAACTAACGTTAGCGCTTGCGCGCTGAGAATGCGAGTTGACGAAAAATTCAAAAGGTAAAGATGCAGAAGAAGATGTCAGGAGTCATAAATAAAAGTAGTCGTTGAAAGTTGAAGCAAGAGCTAGAAAAAGTGTTTATAAGAGCATAAATTAGATTAAGTTAGACGTAATGATATGTCATATGAACATATTTACTTTTTTGAGAAAATTACACAGAATTTCTATAACAGATGGATTAGGGTTGGAGCGAGGCATTGTGAGATTATGAAGGGGAGATATAATTTCATTTTAGAAAGTTTAAATAATAATGTTTTACCTTGATCAATAAACCGCTCGTATAACCAGAAAATATGACTAAGATCTTCGTTATCTTCGCCGCATGGACACAGCGGGGAGTCGATTAGATATTTTCTGTGTAAACTGTAAGCCAAGCTGTAATGTTACCCCTAGTAAAGCCTATAGACGCGATTTTCGGCGACCTTGCTTGTTCGCCAAATTCCGCGCCCATATATTTCTTATAGGGCTCGTGAGGAGCGTCAACTCAAAGTCGAATATCTCGCCGAAAAACTCTGGAAAAAGTTCTTACTGGGGATAATTTCGCGCGCTGAATCGAATGCGCATGGTTCTAGAGCGATATCTCGAAAAAAATGTTGAATTGTCGTATGCGGCGAATTCATAATAGTATATTTTCACAGGGAAGGAGTCATTTATCGAAAAAAACACTTTCCGTGCAACCCCCCTGAATATCGGCGTGCTATACAAACGTACCCTTGGAAAATCAGAAAATCGAAAAATCGAGCATGAAAAACCACTCTCTCAAAAAAAATGTTGAACTGTCGTACGCGGCGAATTCATAATAGTATATTTTCACAGGGAAGGAGTTGTTTATCGAGACTTAAAAGTCTCGGATTACGGCAGAAGTTTTTTAGAGCGATTCTTTTTTTTTTTTGCTAGCCTCCTCGCATTCTGCATGTCAACATGGATCATGTGAGCGTTCAATGCAATTTTGACTATTTTCGATTTACTTTTATGAATATAGTGATTCTACGTAAAGGTAGTTATACACACACATATATAATTTCTGCTTCGTGTAAAAGTAAAAATTGTACAGTTAATGCGAAGTTGGTAAGAATTGAGTAATCTACAAAATAAAGGAATTCGTGAGAATGAAAAGTAGAAAAACGTTTATTCTTTATTGCATGAACGAGGTCACGTACAAATTATTTTAACACTAGTAGGCTTTTTTTATTGTCTTAATTACGTGTATATATCATAAGTATATGTTATACGTGTCGCTATCTTAACATTACTGTGATATAAAAAAATGGATAGTTAGAAATTTATGTTAGATTCGATTTTTTCCGATTTTTTAATTTGACAAGATTGTAAATATGTCTTTGTTGCAGAATTCAACTCGTAGGACACAGTTGAATGAAGTGAAATACGAGGCATAAATTTCAACGAACTATTAGATTTCAAGTATCACGTATAGAAACTCAGTTAACTAAAGCTAAAAGGACCTTTCAAATTAGCAGCTTTATTGTACAGCATTACAAGAAAAAATTCATTGGTAGGTATGTCGATGACGGGTCTGATAGACACGTGCTAATCGAGCGGTACTTCCAGCAGTGTAAATCCACGATGCCAATCCCAATCAAGGTTTAAGGGTGCGCGTAAGTAGGGTCGATTGATTTTTATGTGTCGGGCGATTCCTCTGCCGGTGTGTATAGGCGACCCGTCAGCGGACTTCTCTTTATCGCGTTTACGCGGTGAAACTTTGCTCGGACACTCGATTGCAGCTCGTTACTCGCGCCTGATTTATTTGTGCGTCCGTACGTCGAACGCGGCACAAAAGTTTTCCGTCGCGCGCAAAGTTTCCCTCCGCGCTTCGCATTATCGCTCGACAGATTTATTTTTAGGCTCGCGCTATTATACAGCCGACCCTTTTGATATACTTATAATTTATCGCTGCTAAAGGCTAATTATAACTTCGTTTATGTCCCTCTCTCGGTTCGTGAATCGTTTCAATTGCGTATACATACTTATTTTCGAAGAGCCTCGGTGCTTTCAATGTTTTCCACTGTTACGATTGCACGTTGCACTACTGCTTACTCTTGTCGTTACGGCCAATGAGTGCCTCAGGATAATGCGCCTATCCTTTCTGTGCCAAGCACTAGGGTTTTACCCTCGGTTTTTTTTGTCTCCTACATATGTGGCACTCATTTAATCTTGAAGCCATGTCTTAGCAATTCTCGATTTTCCCGTATTTTCTCGAGTTTTTACAGTTTCCTGTAGCGCGACGCCGGCCGACACTTATGTTTTCGGCTATCATATACCTTGTGTGTTTTCTTCAAACAAGGGAGGCGCCAACTTCTTTCAAAATATCCGTATTTGTTCTAGAACAAATTTCGAGTCCGACAATGTGAAAGTAGTATTTTTGAAGCAACTGCACGCAGCAATTCATCGTACATACGATCATACGGATAATCAAAGATCAGCTGCGGATTATTTAGTATATTTGTATATTCTTAATATGTTAACATTCGATAAGAATTTACCATTGTATTTAATCAATCAACTAATTATAATACCCTCATTCTGCGGACGTATTATGTTAACTATCAAATAATTTATTATAAACATATAATCCTAATGGAATATAGTATAGATAGCGAAGATATCGAATTATCACGATACAGCAAAAAGTTAAATAAAAAATCTACGATATAGCATAAATAACGTACATCCTAGATATTCATATTTGTAATTAATGCTTCTTTCAAAAAAAAAATGTTTAATATTTTACGTGACTGAATGAAGCCAAAATCATTGTACAATATTTTATTATGATTATCTGCGGTTTATATATTTTGTTACGTACTTCGTTTATTCGAAGCTAAATTTATTCGTATAGCAAGCATTAGTATGACACATCAATCAATTAATATTAAATTTATGCCAGCTGTAAGATACACTTTTGCAGTAATCTTTGATGTGCATATACGACATGTATATACTATCACATAAGAGCTGATCAAAGAGTATCATTCTCCGGCTAATCAAATCACGAATAAATTGCCTTCACTTTTATACCTATTTCTTTTTTATAAGAGGAGGAATAAGAGGAGAATAAGAGGATTTATAAGAGGAAAAAGATAAATTGAGAATCAGTCTTTATTATGTAACGATGGAAACCATCAGACCTATTTCTCCCTGGTAGTGTTAACTATAACTTACAATTAAATATATTTTAGTTAATCATTTGAAATGAAACTCAGTTAGATTAATCGTTTTCTCGGAAAGAAATTGAAAATGCATTGTAGAATCCATGTTCTGTCAGTAAAATCGATTGAATATTTCCATAAGAATATATTCGACAAAGAAAGTGATATTATAAAATGATTTTAATCTAGTAATAATTTATTCATTCGAAATCATGAATTAATTTGTATCTAAATAAATAATATTCAATTCTTGTCATTTTTCGTACTAAAGATTTTAAGATTAGAGTTAAATCTTGAATTGAAGAATACCATCTAAAGTCAATATTTATGCTACTATAGATGTAATAACATTTTCACTTCAGGCGGCCGTATTTGGGTTTTTCCATGCAGAGAACGCACACTGGCTAATACTTTGCATTATTTCGTGCTGCGTATAAGTTTGTTTACAATCGTGCATGATATTGAAAGATCTTTCGTAACCATTTGACAAAATATATTATATTTCTCTGACATTGTAATTTTTAATATTTCAAAAGTTTAATAAAGAATGAAGAAACAAAATGTTATTTTATTGTAAAGTAAACTATCGTCGAAAGCGAAATTTTGTACTGAAAAAGATTTGAAGGATAAACAATTGAAAAATCTGTAAATACTTGCGTCGTACGCAGCCTGTTTATACCAATTGAGTGTCACCTGCGCGCAAGAACCCTCGTACGGCTTTTACCAGGAGTGAAAAATTTTTTAACCGTCAATAATGTAACAAAGTGCTATTCAATGTTAGAGAAGGATATTTGCATCGCGGGATATATAAGAGCTTCGGTGGCTACGAACTTCGTTCGCTGCTTCAGTTCTTATATACTATTCCACGCTACAAACACACTCCCCTAGCATTATCGCGCTTTTACGTTACTGACGCATAAATAATTTAAATCTAGTTAGATTTATCACACCAATGAGCTCTATTTTTCACGAAAGATTGACATTTATTTCAATTGACGCTTGTATTTGCGTGAATTATTGGGACTAGTTAACCCCATATTTGTTGTATAAACCTAAACCATTTTCGTTAGTACCTGTGTGAGTGATAAAGAAATACATTTAAAAATAAGAGAAATGCTTGTATTTCTGTGTGTTTTTATATCTATAATTTAAAAATATCTGCTTGTGCATATGTGTTTTGATTTGAGATCTATCAAAACGTTGATTTTTGAATGTAGTCCAGTATATAATCAATCAACTTTGCGCAGTCGCGATTGTCGATTGCGATTGGATAATTGATGATATTATTAGGTTTGCACAATCATATTTCAGTCGAATTATTTGATAATTAAATTTGATTAATTATGACTTCATGTTCCGCAGTAAAGCAAAAAATGAAAAGGCACTTCTAACCATCTGAAAATATCAAGAGGTGACTTAATTAATGAAGTTTAATAAGAAATGAGAAATGCTTACATTCCCAAAAGTTTCAATCGATAGATTGATGTAACCACCGGCAGTGAGTTGAAACGGTCGCTGTGCTCGCATCATCATTAATATCAACATTTTATTATTCTTCATTACATTACTTGACTGCTGCAAACTGGCAAAGTACGCGGCATTTCCTATTTCCTCGCTCTATAACGAAAAACAAGATTTAAAAAATCACTATCATTCGAGTTACCATAGCCAATTTACGTAAGCATTCGGAACTTCTTACTTCAATCAGAAGGTATTCAGGGCCCCATTGTACGGTAAAAAATTGAAAGAGGTTCAATAAGAATATCATTACGAATTTCACTATATTTTCGTCATTCTATTTTGAAAAACAAATTTAACCATTTATCAATGTAATTTCATAGTTTATTTTATAAAATAAGATTCAATACTACCTCTAGAATTTTGAGACCAGTTATCGACATGTTATAAATGGTCGTGAAAACCGCGAAGAAAAATAATTTGTCAGTGATATTCTCTATGCCTTCGCAAAATCTATGACAGAGATGAAAATACAACGGTCTTTCGATTTATGAATTGGCATAAAGAGCCGACTTACAGCATAATTTGTTGGTGAAATTGAGCGCAACGCAACACACCGCGATCGTCCTCCGATATTTTTTCCTTAAGCGAACTCTGAGCCCTGCTCTTCATATTCAGAAGTCTGTTTTGTATGAGTCGCAAATAACCGCAGGACATCATCATCAGGTAAAGGCCAACCGTTTCGATACTTGCTATTTCAAATGCAATGGAGCATGTGACGACGCACTGCAGTAACCATGATAAGATAAACATGGGACCTTCGTGGACTTCCACAAAGAATCTGCAATATCCTCATCGATGAATTAAGCAATACCTTCCAAGACGATGCCGATGAAAAGTTTGCCTTCCATCGCGCATTTCTAACTTTGTCGAAAGCGCTTTTCATCGTTTTATCAAAATCTGGTCACTCGTGTGACAACCATTATGACAAGGAAGCAATCGAGACGACATTACATTGACGTTTGAAAAATCTTTAGAAATGTTATCTCACCTGAACGGTAGCACCCTTCTATCCGTGTCATTGACGCTTGGTCCCGGGATTTTAATGAAGAAGGCGGTAATAATGAAACTGATGACAACGGCTAGCGAGTTGACGAGCATGAAAGTCCTGAAGTAATAGGCCTTTCGCTCGAAGCTTCTCACCACTTGGCTTTCACCCTCAAGCACGAATGTCCACAACTTTCTGCATAAATCCACGAGTTTAGTGAGCTTCTCTCGACTTAGCGAAATGACGAGGAAACGGAAATATACTGATTGTACGACCATGAATTCGCTCAGGAAGTCCACCTCGAATTGCTTAATCGTAAGAAAATATTTGTTTGTTATAGCGAGCGAGTACATGCGCACGTCGCGCTTTTTCCAAATAGGAAAGCATTGTTCATTGTCCAAAAGCTCATATATATCGAACATCACTGTACCTTTCGCGCGGTCATCCTTATGCCATAGCCCGTCCACATGCCATTGTAAAGTAAACTTATCACGTGAAAGTAGAAGTGCAACAGCTTCGTAACGTAGTAATCCAACGGTTTTCCATCTAGCGGAATTGCACCAATGAGCCTCAGGAAATACAGATGCGACGATGAAATCTCGTCGAAGCTCAATTCCGTTTTCTGCATATTCGCGAATCGCTCGTTCGATGCCACTCGTTCGCAACTGCTTTCAGACTTGGGGCCAGCAAACGAGCGCCATTTAAAAATTCAGCGCGCGCGCGCTGCAACTTTCAGCTGGTTTTCCGCGACGCCAGAATAAAGGCTTGGAATATACCGCGCGAGTGCCAAGCAGCCCCGCATGTTTCTTTTTTTGACGACGAGGCGCTCATCAATTTTCAACTGGTTTATCAATCTTTAAGCAGCTATACCCTTGGCATCGACTTTCTCCGCCAGTTGTTCTGCCTCAGTTGATACATTCACTTCTAACATACTAACTACAACGACACGTTCCATTTTGAAGTGTACAAGTGTTGAACAATCACTTTTCCTTGTCTATTTATTTATATTTACATTAAAATAAATCTGGCTAAAAACTATAATTATTACCGAAATATATACGTTGTTTTTCTTTTCAGGTGGTCTCACATTAGAGAACTGAAAATTGCGAGGCCATAAAATGATCTTAATTTTCAATGTTTTCCTGAAAGACTCGCAGAAGGTACAATAAGTATATCGAGAATTATGCATGTGGCTAAGCGCTTTTCTTTGGAGTGGTATCGCAACGATACAATCTCATGAGATATAAACGTGAATACCACACCGATTCCCAATCATCCAAAGTGAAATGAGCATTGTGCTAATCTGTAAGTAATATTAAACATTCATCCGGTAATGAACGTATTGCCGAAAAGAAATACGTTTTCACGTCGAAGCTTCGTCGAGCGTCTCAATAATAAGAAAAATAAATAAAACACAACTCTGATTTATGTTCTGAGTATTTTACAAACCCTCGTACTTCTTCCGTGGTGTTTCAGTCGACCACACGTAAAACGTCGCCTTGCGTTTTCGATAGCGCAGACGTGCGTAAAATAAAAACTGGAAAATGTCATAGTTCCTTTCAATTTTTCGCAACCAAGAGTGGAGTATAAACACCGTATTTTGATATTTATCTAAATGTTTACAATAATTTATTAATTTATTAAGTCGCTAAATTAATATATGGAAGGCAGGGGATGAATAATGTTAATAATAAGCATTGACAGTAATCGCACATTCAGTTTAATATGATTTCAAAGTTAATTAACACGTAAGACGATTGCAGTTTACTGGAAAGTTAATCGTCCTGCGCATACTACACACGAAAACTTATCCTATAACATTGGCTTTCGGACATCAATACACAGTTCAGTAATTATAAAAACTCTCCGTTTATCATACTTTGACGAATTGATAAATGGTAGTGACATGCTTCTTTAATATATCGCTTGAAATAAATGCAAATTGCTTGTAAATTACCGGAGTTGGGTATCAAAAAAGATAAGGAAGCAAAAATATGCGTTGTAAAGTGCATCGTATTATTAATACTGAAACATACGTATAAAAATTCTTATTTTATCGTTCATTCCATACGTCTATGTTGCTCTATGGATTTTATAAAGTTTTACTTTTGCTATCGATACATTTCACATACAATTAGGCTCTTAATATTTTGATTCTATTTTGTATTACATAGGTATGTTTGTTTCTCATTTGTATATCGGACTTATAGTATTCATCTTTTTTTTTTCGATATCCAAAAAACAGACAAATAGTAGCTGTACACTAAGTACGTAGCTTAGACATCGAATGTTCAATTCGATATTTATCTACGCATAATTATTGTTTACGAGGCTCATTTTTATTTATTATAAAGGTAAAAATACTAAAGTTATGCCTGATATATATGTTTGTGCTCAGTGCGGCTGTTTAAAAAAACAACTTTTATTTTTACAATCTGAGGAACTCACCTTATACACCTTTCGACGCTCATTTGCAAAATACAAAACTTATGTGACAATCATTTGAATTGAAAGAACGATAACAACTTTGATAACTCTACAAATCTATAAGTATAATTCATAAAATGCGGATGTAGAATAAAGCTTTTCGTTTAGGCTGCTCTAATTGCAATTTAATATCAGTCTTCGTATATCGTCTTATAATTGCCGCCGCCTTCATCATCACGCTTTCATGACTATAAATACTCACTCATGTGCATGTAAAATATAAAATTTAGGTGGCATGAAGAATCAACACTAACAATTTGCCCACATTAACTCCTAAGTATGTAAAAAATTCATACTTTTTGACTAGATTTCACGTAACGACATATCATAAACGTCATATAAAATTTATCAATTTACTTTCCAATCATTCAAAAAGTCTAGATACAAACGATCAAATTTCCGAAAAAAAAAGATACTCGAAAGACGATCTGAAAATTGATACAATTCTATTGTTATTCCAATATGCCACCCAACGTGCCGTCTACAATAGCTTCACACGCACATTACGCAAGTCATTGTCGCTTAACAAACAGGCACACAAATGCAACTGTACTGCAGGACTACCCCAGATAAAGAAAAACCTTTAGTCGATAATTTCATTGTCGAGTCGGTAGGTTACCGACTTCTTTTTGTATACGGCACGACTTAGGCTCTGGGTAGCCCTGACCCCGTGCTACGAGCACATCGTGTGTTGATGCCCCGCCTTATTTCGGGGGCATGTCCCGTGCTGCTAGACCCAATATTGATTTCGCCTGAGCAATGGGTTTGTTCGCTGTGAAGTTTGCGAGGGGCACGGTATTTCCGTTGTGTCGAAACTACTCCAGTCGTCCACGGAATCGGCCACACCGTACGGATAACGCGCTGATACATCTACTTCCGAGCCGGTCATATTGTCCATCGGACTCAGAGGAATCACCTGCAAGAATTTCGTGCATCGTCATTGCAATTTTATTTTTATGGAAAGTTCGACTTTATTACCTTGCATTGCGGTAGCGTCGAAGTTAGCGTTGGCATTATGGGTGGTAACGGTGTACTCGATCCAATACTGTTGTTATGTAAATCATTCGTGTACCTCTTGAGATGTGGTGTTGCAGGCAATAGATGATCCGGCGGCCTTGGTAATGACATGACCGATGCTGGCGATGCAGGTTCGACTTTATCTTGATCCTCCTCCTCTTCGTCTTCTTCTTCGTCTTCTTCACCTTTGAATCTCGCCTGTCTACATCTGATCGTCACAATCACGCACAGACTGAGCAACACAACTCCACACAGCATTCCCAGCAACAGAGTATAATCGTCACTCATGTTTGGCGCAATAGGCATCTCACCTTCATGGCCTACAGGATCCATAGGACCATCCAGTGAATTATTGTAATAGTCACTGGCGAGTTTGGCGTGAAAAACAAACGTTCCGATTGCTGGTTGAAATCTTCCAGTGCTTGTAGGTACTGCCAGCATAAAGTCAAAGCTGTCTTTTACACCATGTGGATCGTCACTGGGTACTTGAGTGCATACCAGGTAAATTAGTCCAGAAAGTATATGGGAATGAGTGAACTTGGTGACTTCTTTAACTTGAAGATCCTTTTTTTCACCAGAAGAAGTTGTACGATTGACTATCTGCATTATCTTCGCATACTCGGGTTTTCTCGTCACCTTGAACTTCGGCTCGCTATCAGCTAACTTTGCTAATGGGGTAGCATCAAAATACGGTATTGTGAGTTTAGATTTGTCGCCAGCGTACGCTATGAAATCGTCGCTCATGATCATCAGTGGCACCACGACAATTGGTATCACGATGTCAGTTTGCTCTTTTTCTGCTACACGTGCCGACAGAACGACACTATCGTTACTTGTATTGAGATCGTTTTGCACGTAAAACACGCTCTTGGAGATGAGGTCTGCGTGACGGAAGATCACACTTGATTCGCGAGCATGTAGCGCACCGTTCATCGGAGCTCTTGTTACCTGTAAGAAAAATTAATGTTTTCATTCTAATCATTCTTTTGACTCAAAAATGAATGGTTATAAGTAATGTCATACCTGATACATCACTAGATCGTGTCTCACGTTGGTGTCCAACCTCAGAACTTCTGTGTCGATATTCGCCGTTGTACTTCCTTGCTTAATTTCCACCGGTTTCATTACACTGACATTCAATCTGATCGATTGTACTTGTACATTCAAAATATTATAATCGAACTCATACTGGCCATCCGATACTCGATAGTAGATCGCTTTTGCCGATAATGAACCACGATGTTCGTAAACCAGCCTCGAGGAATCAACATCACGTTGTGTAAATCTCGTCACTTGTTGTACTTCTGAAGCATTGTCAAACAGTAAAAATCTTCCTTGAGGGATATTCATTAATTCATAGACGATTCCTTCGGGACCAGTATCCGGATCGGTGGTTAGAAAATTCTGACGAGTGACGGTTTGAGTTTGATTCTGTACAACCACGATTGGTTCCAGCTTATTCTTTTCGAGCTTGAATTGCTGATCATTCACCGGACTTATTTCTACTGGTACTGTTATATTACATAATGTCAAGTGTCCTGGTGAAAAATACACACTCATTTGGATTTCATCCTTTAATGTGTCCGAGTTATCGTGGTAATACGTAATCCTTCCACTTTCCACTTCGTTTTGTGAAAACGTTGTCAGATTTAAATTATTAGGCTCGAGCATTACGTGACCGTGATTTGGTTGGCGCAGTAGACGAACAGATACATCAGGGATGGGAATAGCTGCATTTGTTCGTAAAAAGTCGATAATGCCAGTAATATTGATCGTCACAGCAGCTTTCTTGCCTTCAACTACGAAGACTGGGTCGACAGAAACGTGATGGTGTAAACCGCCGTTCGATACTGATATTTTTACCTCAAAAACCTGGAATGTTTTTTGAAATTCTTGATGGATTTGGAATTGAAGCTTTAGAAAGCAATACTTTAAAAGCAAATGAGTGATTTAGTTTACCTGATTCCGAATTGGAGTAGCAAAGTATGCTTCGACATCAAAAACAAAACTGTCGTTAGCCGCCAAACTGTTAAACGGCTTATTATGCTCGTATGATACCCTACTATTGTTCAAATCTTGCTGAGTAAACCGATCAACTTTCAGCCAAATACCTTCGTTAGTTTCCATTATGATTCTGCCCATGTGGGGTCCATTTCTTACGAAATACTTGACATCTCGATCGGCATCTGTACATTTCGTCAGCAACAGATCACTGGTGATCAGTTTTCTAGCTAATGGGAAGACATTCAGGATTTCGTTGTGTCCGATTAATACTTGAACTGGTTTCGTAGTGACTAAAAGCTTGTAGACATCAGTTTTATGAAGTCCATCAAATACAAAAAACTTGACTTCTGCTCGGCTCCCATCTACAAGAATAATTCTTTGTTTAGTAATTTTCCTGCTAGGGTATATAATCAAAAAAAAATTTATTCAATTTACTTGTATGAGTGAAAAGCACCCTTTGTTCGTTGATCATCTCCTGCGAAAAATTATGTATACTAATACCCGATATCTCTTTCATCGAGAAATATCCTCCAATTACATTTTGTATCTCAAAGAAAATTTCATTTGGCATAGTATCATTATCCGCAGCTGCCAGTAGATCGTTGGTTATAACTACCGAACCACCTTGCCACATACTGAACACACTTTTATTGACTACAACTGGTGGTTCGTCGTTGATTGGTGCGATATTAATCCATAAGTCGAATTGCTGACTCGACTTTTCCCCAGCTTTAACCATCATTCTTAATTTATCAACCAATTGCTCGTCGCCGTTATTCTTGTAGACAATTTCTTTAGACACAAGCTGCTTGTGCGTGAAGTTTCTTATAGGATTATTCCATAGATCCATCATATTTCCGTGCCTAGGTTTCTCAACGATTGTATACTCGGTTATTTTTCCAGCGAAGTAAGGGGTTACGGTATAGAAATCGAAGTCCTGAAGAATGACACTTTTACCTTCTAAAACACTTAGATTTCTAGCGGCGACGTAAAGCTTATCAGGTACGATAACAATGTTCACTGTTAAGTTACGTGACCAAGTAATACCATTGCTGACGTCGACAAGAAAAACATCATGAGTCTGATTGGGAGTGGATTGTACGTAGGACACGTGATGCTCGTCTATCAAGTTCTGACCGAAATGCTTGACTAGGTTTGTATTAAACTCGTCAAAGTCATCGTTTTCGTAACTCTGTACCTCCAGGTAACCATAGCGTGGCCATTGACGAACATGGTAAGTTATCTATAGTATCGAAATAATATTAGCAAAATAAAATATATACCATATATTTCAAATTCCAAATTACCTTATTCGACGGAATGCCAGGATACCCAACAGCTAAACTTTTGTTATTAAGAATAACGCTGGTAGCTTCTTCAACGTAAATAGTACTATTATGCTTAATAATCAAAGGTTCCCAGTATATTTCTGGATAAATTTTGATTCCAAACTCGCCAGAATCATACGCTTCACCAACTGTAACTTTTAACTGAAATTTGTCCTCCACAATCTCTCGATTCGGTGGTCTTACATGTTTATAAACGACATGTTGCCGAATCAAATCCTCTCTATTAAAGTTCCACGTTTCCTTTCCATACTTCAGTATTACACCATACTTCGGTCGTTCCTTAACGTGATACGTGATTTCTGTATTGTTGGCAAAAACATTAGTTTCCATATCAATATCTTTCGCCGAGAGCAGAACAGATCGATTAGTCTGAACGACGGCACCCTTGTGAAGCATAAGTTTGACGTAAGCATGACCAGCTTGAATCTCAAGATCACCGTTGGAAAACAATTCTCCATCGCTTACAGTAAAGTCAATACGTTCATACATGTTGCCGTGATGCCTGTAAACAATCTTCTCATTATCGATATCCTGCTGGGTGAACCAGTCAATCTTAACACTTGGATTATTCAGCTTGTGTAATAATCCGTTACTCAATTGCTTCACATGGTACATTAAGTCACTTGGCTTCGTATTTAAATCGTCATCCGTGTACAACAAATCAGACCTGGTTATAAGTTTTTCGGAATTGGTAACCACGTGGAAGATCCTTTTGTTTATTCTCTTTGGAGAGTTATCATTCCTCAATTCGACCTGCACATTCACCCTGTCGATGTACATGAAATCAGTGTCATCCGTTGACATAGCCAGAAACTCAAAAGCGTCTTCTTTTGTTTCAGAATCATCATGCACATAAAACACAGCGCGCCTGTTCAATTCTTCTAAGGTAAAGTGTGTGATGTTTAGAACTACCGGCAGTGTAGCTTCGTACAGCGATAGACAACCGTGTCTGGGTCTCATAGTTAGATTGAAGCTCAGCGATGTCACACCAAAGTGGCGATAGTCAAATCTGGCCATGGATAAAGGAACCTTTTGTCCTTCCATCACTCGAATAATTTCCGCACCTTCGAAAGCCAAATTTGACTCTTTCATCGGTTCGTAACTGAAGTTTAAACTCGTGCTGACATCCTGACACTGAGGTGCCGATACTTTAAACTCTATCCTATCTTCAATCGGTGAGAAAGCTCTTCTATAGTGTCGATACCTCAATCGTCCATTATCAATGTCCTCTTGTGTAAACGTTTGACCGATCATCAATCTCTCATTTGCCAGATACAAATGTCCGAATCTTGGAGTCTTCAGTAGACTGTATACGATAAGAGCTGCTTCCGTAACGAGGGGATTCGTTTGAAATTTGATTCGTCGCGAATCAACTACCACCTCGGCACTATTAACAAAGTCTACACTACTACGTTGAATTTCTAAGAGTTCCAGGGTGATGAAGGTTATATTAAAATCATATGTATCACGGAAATGTACTTCGCGCACAGACACCTCGAAGCGGAAACTGTCATTGTGTGGACTAGCCATTGTGTGCAAGTATCTAAAAGAAGAGTAAGTTATCGTCAAGATTCAATCGTAATTTTTCTATCATTGAAAAAAATGGCTCAACGAATTCTCTCACCTCACAGTCTGACGCTCGAGGTCACGACTTGTGAAGTAATCTGTGTTGATCCAGGTGTAACTTGTTTCTCGCTGTCGCTGCAGTATCCCAAACCTGGGCTTTCCAGTGACGTTGTAGCGAATCTCGACACGTGAATCATCGGCGTTGGTCGCAAACGACAAATTCGCCGAAGTTAAATATGAAAAGGAACGGTGAACCACCACCAAGCCGGTATTCTGCACGGCTCTTATTGACAATTTGTGAGCAGAGATGCGTAACTTTTGTACTTGACTGCTCGCCTCGCCGTCGCTTACTTTCAGAGATAAGATCGCCGTGGTTTTGTCTGTCGAGAAAGAGAAATATATAGAAAGATATTTGAAGCAAAAGCAAAGAAAGAGAGACAGAGAGAAAGAGAGGCTAAGATTAACAAGTACTCACTTTTGCCGCTGTGTACGTAATCGATCGCGCCGCGGGCAAGTTCCGCCTGCGTGAACGTCCGCACGGATATTCCGGTGCTACTGCCGGCCTCGTTACTCGCTAGCCTCTCCACGTGACCAATGTCACCGTCTTCCGGTAGCACTGTATAGACTAATTTTTCGGCTGGTGTGTCCGCATCCTCCGCAAAGATTAAATCCTTTGTTAGAGTCTTTCGAGTACCCTGCGGAAAATTTGTTGTTTAGCGTTAATTAAAAGAACACAGTTTTAATTGTAACACGTTTAAAGTGTAGCCTTTGTAGTTTTATTACATTCGAATTCGGGAAACTTGCCTTGCGTCAACTAATTAAAAATAAAAATACGGTAGGCAGAAAACATTTTTGAAACGTTGCTACCATTGACTAGAGCATTTTCATTTTAAGGGAATTGCCAGCTTCACTGCAAATTATGTTCATTTACATTCTCATCGTTATGAAAAATAAAATTGAAAATTTGACCAGCAGTCTGGTATCCATCTTTTTACCATGCGAACAGTAGATTTAGGTCAACATCTCGAGACAGCAATTCGCAGACTACTAATACTCGATTAATTATTATACCGATGATAAAGTACGTGTTATCCTCGCGAAAAATAAAGTGTTTTGAATGGGTGCGGTAATAAACTCTCACGATGATTAATCTCTGTTTGAAACTCCAAACAAACTTTTAACTCTCCATCCCTTTCACAAGGATAAAAAGTCAAGTTTAATTTTTCATGCATAAGTGCTTACCTGGGCAAGTGTGAGAACGGCATTAGGTGGAATTTCGAGTCTTGGAGGGTCGTTCACTGGCGTAATATTGACGTAAAGTTCAAAGCGCAAACTATCCTGGAAGTAATTAGGTAGTGCGTGACGTGGACTTGCCGCTTGAACTGCGAATTTAAGGACCATATTGTCCACTGTTGTTTCGCCGCCGTCGTGCATGTAGACGATCTGAAGATAAATTATTTTTTGTCTTCAGATTAAAATGTTATTTATTTTTAAAAATTTTTTACTACCAAACGTACAAAAACAGTTTTTCCTTGTTATTGTCCTGAGAAATAAACAAATTCCTTTAATAATTGAACGGAAAAATGTTATCTGTCTTCACGCATGCTTGAATAATAGACTCGCAGGAAGTTTGGCATTATCAGAGAAAAATAAAATAAACGAAAAATAGTTTACACGGGAATTACGAGCGCAGAGAGATAGTTTCTCCTTTGTTGTGTTGTTTTTGTGGCTGAAGCGTAAATGAAAAAAGGGACATTTTGAATGCGTTTGGCTGTCGCTCTCTTCAGGAATAGCTTTTTTTTTAATGCCACGAGATGAAAAAGCAGTTTCTTTTTGCGAAATATCAGAAAAAAAAACACGCGTCTCTGCCGAAACTAAAACTTGACTGAAACTGCTGCGGAAGTAGAACTCAGCGTATATATATATACTTTTCATAGCCTCTTCTTTCTTCCTCTTGTCCAACGCTCAAGCACTTCATTAACTTTCTTTGCCTCTCTCTCAGTTGGTGCACTCCGCTTTACTGCGGTTCCCGTACTAAATCTATTGCAAGATCGAATTTTCGTGCTTCTTTTTTCCTCGCTCGCGTCGTTGTAAACACTTATCCCGTAAAATTTACGCCATCTCGCTCGAAGCTGTTATTCCTGCCAAAGCTTTCGTACGAGAGCGGAGGGAGAGTACCGCGCTAATTGCTCGAAGCGCGTACATATTCTTCATTGTTGCACGCGAGTTAAAGCTACAACGTAAGTTTCTCCCGTGCAATCGATACGATCAAGATAGTCATGAAAATGTTTACGTGATTGATTTTCGTTTCTCTAGGTTTTTCCTCGCTCACGAACACATATTTTTCATAAAGCACAATATATTACAATGAGTGCCAATAAAAATGGTATTGTTTGTGCATTGTGAATGAATTATCGCGTAAAAATTACCGTGCTTGCCACGGTAAAGCTGGGACGTGATAGCCGTTTATGAATTTTTATGATGAAATCGACCGAATTATTAAGTATTTAAACATGAACATTGTTCAATTGTCCAAGAAATATTATGGTTCCTCACTGTATGTTTTTTGGAATTCATCACGGTAATTTATACTAATGGTAAACCGCTCATATGTTTCTCATACATGGATAAAAGAGAGCGGCGCTGCAACTACGCATTTTAAAAGTAATTCCAAACAAGTCACCAATTATATCGATCAACATAATTTATTAATTAAAAAAATTGTCTTTGCTTTATTTAACAAGCGATAATGAATAAAATCTAATAAATTTAAGTTTTTCAAAACATTCTCGGATTGGTTCCAACATTGAAATTTTTCAAGCGCCGATCTTGGAGAGATGTTCCCCTGACAATTCAGATTATGAAAAAAATTACGGAAAGATGAGAAAAATGATAATAGCATTCGTAATTTTTTTATGAGATATTACTTAAAATTTGTGAAGCAGACAGTTTACCGTGATTCGCTGTAATTTTTATGGTGAAAATCATCGCAATTTTCATGAAACATTTCTTTTCCGTGAGAGAATAATACATACAACTTGCACGTGTTCTACTTTACTTATAAATAGAACGCTTCCTTGAAAAGGTGGGATGCAGGGTAGTCCATAGTGATGCGTCTTGAGCATCGCGCAACAAGCATATTTGATTTTTATTTCGAGAAGGGAGAAACGTGGCGATCGCAATAGCGCGCGTGTGTCTGAAATGTGTCTTGCTAAATACATGGCATTTCGAAACAAAAGCTTGTAATGTTAGTATCTCGGTGGAGAAAAATAAGCAGCTTACGTTTTTCCGTGGACCTGACGATGCTGCCGGGCATTAAAGCTTCTTTGAAACGAAAGTACTCGCCGATGACATTCATCGGCAACGTTTTTTCTCAATTTTATATAGGTCTGATCAAACGCAGTTAAGTCCGTGAATTTTTATTTGAAAATCATCACGGCGCCTCTAGAGACGTGTTCGTTACGTTGAAACAGATATAACGTCAAGTATATATTCCACGGCTAATATTCAAAGCTTCTCGCTAATTTTCAGCGAGAGGAAATATCTACACGTATAGAACAGACACGTCGCGTACACACAAAGTGGAGCAACAGATCGAAAGTGGTATTGTCACGCCGCAGATGTCTCCGTGTCTGTACACCCTTTTGTATCGAACTTTGTATCCAATAGACACGAGGATTGAAAGAGGAGCGAGAGAGGCAGTTTAATTTCACGAATGACTTTCTTTCTCTTTCCACGAGTTCAGATATCGCTCGCTCCAGTTTACCCGTAATTGCTATTAATGGCATTTTGATGAATTTAGCTTTCGCCACAATTGAAATACGTTCTTTCGCCGGCTGCACGTAGCTTTGTCTTTGAATTGTGACAATTAAACTATTATCGCGCTTACTCACCATTAACGTCAATGGAGCCGAATGAATTATGCAATCCCGGTGAATTTCGGGCGTCTACCTCGCAGAAATGAGCTACCCGTCCGATCGGAACACCCGAAATGCGCTTCGTCAGTCCTCGGTATGCACAGTGGAGTCGACGAACGCGACGAGCCCGAGCCCCGCTCTCCGGATCGTCAGAGCGCCAAGAGCGTCGCGCCTTGCGTATCGTCGTTCTTGGAGTCGGATTTCTCGCCGCTGCGGTCGACGCTGTTGCCCGACGCGTATGTTTTTTGCCTTTTAACGAGCGCCCGTGCCGTGCATGCGCAGTTGGCCGCGCGGAAGACGCTGAGAATCGAGCGAAACGTGACTTGTGCGATTGTTGGTGCGGCTCGGCCGTCTTTCACGCAGAAGGTCTTACTCCGTAAACGTGTCGCAGCCGATACAGCAAATACTGACTCACACTCTTCGCTTATGGAACGAAACCGCAGCGAATGGCGCGTTACCTGTAGATTTTCAAAACGACGCGTGCAAAAGCACAAATCCGCGCGGCGGGTCGAAACAGAAGGCTCGTCTTCGTCGTCGTTGATCTTTTCGCGACGATAGTGGCAGTCACTGTAATTATTATGGGACTCGTTGTCGACGGACTCGCGTAAATTTCGCACGTACGACCAAGAAAGGCCAAACGAGGTAGAGAGCGAATCGTACGAACCTTGTGCATGTGGACGTCGTGAAGAGTAAAAGGCGTCTTGACAGCGAGCCTGGATCGATCGAGTTGCAGCCATCCGTGCGCCGGTGGCGTCAGGAGTGCAAACACAACGTGCGACTCGTTCAGCTGATATCGTGCAATGTCCAACGTCAAGCTGATGTGACGTTCGGTTAAGGCCGCTCGCTTGCCTTCCAGCACGGATATCGGACGCGCGCGCAACAGCTCCAGATTGATCGGTAGATTGGTGTTGAACTGCGAGTGGCCGAATAAGCGGGACGACGCACGAATGGGAATTAGAGGAGGAACAGCTGCGAGTTAATCGGCCGTACGTACCTTGTATTCCTCGGTGAAGTTGGACTTGATGCAGAGATCGCGATCGCAGGTGCACTTGAACGACCTGACGCCGAGTTGCGAGCAAAGAGCGCCCGGCACGCATGGCTTCGCCTCGGCGCACGGGAAGCCCCACACGCAGTTGACGACGACGCCTTGGCTGACTTTGACGTTCGGCAAGCCCAACTCCTTGCCGTCCAGTCGCATGCTCCTCAGGCAGCCTTTGTAGCTGTTCCCGCCGGATTCCAAGCCCTTCGACAGCGCTTTCGCGCGTTTGTTCAACTCCGTGCCGCCAATGTACAGCGTGTCCGCCAGGTCAAGGTACTTGTTACCCAGAGCAAGCGACAAATTGCGCGCTTCGCCGTCGACGCTTATGCCGATGAGCGTCGTCGTGAAATCGACCGTCACCTCGTGCCACGTCCCGTCGGCGATGTTTCGCGGATGGATCAACTCGGCCGGGCCGTTGCCTTTATTCATGAGCAGGCGGACCTTACCGTTTTTTAGCTCCACGCCCAGAAAATCGGCGTGCGACGATAGACCCGCCATAAACAGCAAGAGGCCGTCCGTCGAGACGGTTTTCAATTCAAGCTCCCATCTGCAGGTGGAGAAGAATGGATGGAGTTTCAACGAGTAATTGCAATTCTATAGAGTATGTTATCGTCGGGACTCTCGTCATTTTGGCAAGTTTCCGAGCGTAAAGTCGTCGATTAAATCTACGCTTTGATGCATCAAAGCGGATTATGGCTAAAGGGATACTTGCTGTAAATTGTGAGTAAATAAACCTTGTTTCAAAATTACAAAAGCAACGTTTGCGCGCATGGCAGTCAGTTAGTGAGTTATGTGCATTTACCATTAGGTGCTGTAGGAGAAAAAAAAATGCTTTAACACGATCAAGTTCTTTTGAATTTCTATGTTGTGTTTCAATTAATTGTACACATGGAGCTTCATAAAATTGAGTCTATCGCCACACATTCTTGTGTGGCCCATAGCAGCTAAAGGAAATTGACGCCTTCAGATGGCAATCTACGGATGTAAATACATTGAAAATCGTATTCCAGTTTATTTTTTGCTTGAAATGTGTTGTCCCTTGCACTTTTGAGCGTGTGAATGAAAGTGTAAAGCATGACTCGTTTAAGTAAAATTTCAATTGTGCGTTTTCAAAGCTCCGTCAGAGTCAAAATGGCAAGCAGAAAAAAAGAAGAAATTCGTATGATGAAAATTTTAACGTTATTTTTTTTGTTTTCTATTCCCCCTCAAAAAAACAACGATGGCCGGATGTTGCGAAGCTTTTAAGAACACCATCGAACATAGATGTGCTGCAATAGTTGCTACATGGTATCGTTTACACGAAACAATATGGGTGTTTTTGACGCGAGCTATAATTATCACTCATGATTACATTGTTATTTTTATTCATTTCAATTTGATTCAGCTTGAAAACCAGGCTATATTAACTAGGCTAGTATTATTGAAAGGTCCAAACCTGGTTTCGACAGAATGCAAGTAATTCTATTTCTAATACGAAGATAATAAATTTTAGTAATATTGATTTCCCTTTTTTTGTGAAAATAAGAAAAAAACTTTCCAACTCAATACTTTTCATGCCGTTACGATCTATCTTTTCTTAAATGTAAACTATAAAATATCTGTGATGATTTATAATTCTTAATTTAAATAAAATGCTTCGTGTCAAGTAGCCGCTAAGAGTGTGTATTTATACCTGAATTTATATCTAAATTACGATTGTGTTTCTATTAAATACTTATCCAATACGCGGTACAATTTATTTACGATTAGACTAGTAACTTTAAATAATTGTTCTGTCTCAACAAAAGTTATATATGCAATAAAAAAGACCGAACGCGCGCGCGGCGCCCGGTGTAGCGAAGAAACAAGCGAGAGAGGGACTCACCTAGATCCCGCGCGTGGAATAGACTTGGGTATAGCGGTGAACGCTCCGTCTTCGACAAAGCTTATGTCGACTCGGCTCGTGGCGTCGAATTCAGCCGAGCAACCCCAGCTCACGGCGCTCGCCTCCGTGGAGTTTCGTCGTGTTCGCGCGTGCTCGATCACCCGCAGACCATTGTACGTTATGTCGGCCATGCAGCCGCGCAGATACTCCGTGTGGCCTGGACACAAACGCGCCGTTTTTTTTTCTTTTTTTTTTTTCGTTTGCACTTTTTGCACGATTCACGGCGAATCGTTCGGTCTGATGTATCGGAACGCTCATCATATTTACTCGGTTTTTCTGATGTGCGTTCGTGAAAAATAAAAATATATATGTATATATAAATAGTTTGACTGACACGACTCGTCAAAAGTTCTTTTAAATCAAAGGCGGTCGAAGAATTAATATTCTTCTGTAAAAGAATCAACGATGCCTTTTGCCTGTGGTATACACGTAACGTTTCTACCTTTCAAGAAAAGTTAGACTGTCGTATTGGAAAGTGGAAACTTGTACGTTGCGCTGCTGGTTTCCGCAACATTTCAAATCTAAACTTACTCATCAATAAAAATGCTCCAGCAACCATTCTAAAGTATCGTCGATCGAGTGCATGAAACTTTTAAATGTCAATTACTGAAATATAAAAACTTTCAATCAAACTGTATCCTCGCGGCCAAAGTAGCTTACGCTCTCGCGGAAAAAAACTGATTGATTTTCCGTCTCTGCGTTCCACGAAACAAAACAATACAAAACAAAATAAAACAAAAGGAAATAAAAGTCTCTCGTCCCGCGGAAAAAGACACGTTTTGTTGTTATTTTTTTTTTGTTTACTTATGACGATGCGTAATGCGTGTCATCACCGAGACAAAAAATACTCACCGAGGAACAATTCGTTGAAGCCACCTTGTCCGCCGATGTAAACGCCGAAATTGATGTTCAGCTCTAAAAATTTGCCGGGCAATATCTCGCTGACGCTGTGTATGCCGTCGACGACGAGGGTAATGTTGGCGTCGCGCCTCGTCAGATTGACGCTGTGCCAGCTCATGTCGTTCAGCTGCAGTCCGCGAGCGCTCGCAAGCTCCTTTTCGCCTGCGCCCAAGTTGATGTGCACCTGGGTAGGACCCGCACAGTCAGCAATTCGTAAATTCGGACGCGCGGCCAGTGGCAGCTTTCGACAAACAACCTCCCTCGATATTGCCCGGCGAACTATCGAGTGATTTTTAATGGCGGAAGCTAATCTGAAATGCACGTGACCTACAAAAGGCTTCTTTGGGTTTTGCCAGCAACGTCGATGAAAAGATGAATGAAGCACTCGAGCATTTTTCCGAGTGTACGGTAGCTCGTTATCCGCAGCACAAGAGCCGGCGTGCTCTCATTAATTAATAGCCGATCGGCCGCTTCCACTCTCTCTCTCTCGCTCGTTTGGCTTGCATTTGTAAAAGCATCGATGCTGCTTTATTTATCGGCCAACTGCAAGGTGCCGTGCTCGGTTTTGAGAGAAGACATCTTTCATCCTATCTTCAACGTGGGAGCTCCGTGCGCGACGAAGGGCATAAGGAAACGATGCGTTCGCATGCCGGCAGCCCAAACGAGAGGCAAAAAAACAGCGACAATTTTGCCGACTTCCGAGAGACTTTGGAGCGTCGATGCGGATCGGAGAAAATGCTGAAAAACTTTTTGAAGAGAAGAAGAGTGCTCCGCTCCTTAGCTCCGTTCCCCCCCCCCGGCAAAACTTTTTGCGCGAAGAATCTTTGGAGCTTGAATTTCAGTTGACCGCGTTAATGACGCTGCTACGGAGGCCAGGGAGAAGAGGAACAGCGAGCAGCGCAACTGATATCCAATTGTAAAAAGAGCGAGCGATCGCTCGAGTTAACCAAGCTTTGCTGTGCTATTCAAGTTTAAACAAGAGTCCGTTTTGAGCTCGCTGTCCTTTCTTCTATTCTACGCTTTGATAATTAAGCTCAAAATGTATCAAATTGAGAGTCAGGCAGCTTTCGAAATGAAGCTCGTAGCTATTGGGATCCAATTAAATCAGAGGCAGCAGTAGAATTCCTATATTGCACTTCAAAGGCTCGGAGTTTAATTAAACACTTGTCTAAACCAACATTGAAGGGATGATGATTAATTGTCGATGTGAAAATGCTATAAAGGCTGATCGGAGCTAGGCTGCGATATGAGAATATCCAACATTTGACATTTGCCGCGAGCACGTACAGCAAACGCAAACCTTACCTTCAGCCTGCCAGTCTCGAGTTTGACGAGGCAATAGTCCGTGCGCCCAGCAGCCAGCAGCAACATCGCATCGGACAAGTGTGTGCGGAAACGGAAGCTTATATCCGTGCCATTCTTCGCTTCTTGTACCAAGAGATGGATGTAACTCGCTCCGTAGAACGACACTGGAATTTAACAAACAGATTACATTGCTCGCGTCTCCGATGGGCCAACGGACTCGAGCAGCGCCCGTCGAGACGAACGACGGCGCTGTTCCTTTCGCCAGCGCCACGGCACACTCGGACGAAGTCGTGGCGAATCCGGCGAACAATCGCGACGGAAAATCTCGTCTACAACTGTCGGATGCGGGTACGAGAATTCTCCAGCCAAGACGTAGCCGCTCCGCTTGTCGCGTCCGTGAGCGCCGGGGTTTATTTCGGTTCGCCGCGCGATCTCGAGGACGCGCCGTCCCATAGTGCTCGTCGGATAGCCCACTTCTCCGCTCTTTCTAGGGGAAGCTTTTCTCATCGACCGCGACAACCGCGACAAAGCACGGCTCGCTTTGCCCCTCCCCCTTCTCCGAGCGCACTTTTACAACGAATCGTGAATCTTCGTCGATCTTCCGATTCATCGCGAATGAAAAGCTCTGGGATTCGAGTCGCGAGCGCGGGATCTCCGAACGGGCTTACCCTCGTCAAACTGGCACTATTTGCCGTTACCGGGCAAAAGTCGCGAGCAATAATGTATTAATATTAATAATAACGCGCGGCCGTGGAGGTCGTCGGTTTCGTGTCTCTCATCAGAAAGCAGGCATGCGGCGAGGGAGAGTCTAAATTTAGAAAATACACGTACAGAGAGAGAGAGAGACTGGAACTCCGCCCTCCCGCCCGTAAATCAGCGCATCGTTCGGCTTGTTACGTTTTTTTCTTTTTTTTTTTTTCCCCCAGCGCGCATCGATGTTTATGGCGATTGATCGTAAAATTAGCCTGCTAGATCGACGCGCGAGCGCCTTGAACGGCCGTAGATTGCCTTGGCGCGCGCGACACGTCTTTACTTCGGCGCTACGGCGCGTCGCCGTTAACAGTCGGCGCGTGGCGCTTTCCGCGCGAGGACAACGAACGGAGAAGCGAGGCGTCGAGATATATACGCACGCGGCGCTCCCCTCAAAGCCATAGCTATTTTACGGCTGGCATTTCGCAGCGACGCGCTGGATTTTGTCCTGCGGCGCGCGCGAACTTCTTTGCGCGCGCCAAGTATTATTTTCGGCGCGCTTTCTTTTGCGGTCGCGCGCGTCGAAGCCGCCACGCGCGGAATACGAAACGGCCGGCTGTCCGGCAATGATCCGGTCGCGCGTGAAAATCCATTTGTAAACCGCGAGGCAAAAAAGGGAGAAAATCGAATGAGGGCCAATCGCCCGGAAAAGCATATACACCTATACATAGGCGCACTTGCCTTCCTCGTCGGCTTGGCAGGCGTCCAAGAGTAAAGCGCCAGCAGTCAGCATCAGCAGCAGTAGTTGTAGCCTCGCCATCTTCGCTCCCTTGATTCTCCGCCGCACAGCTACAGAGGACTAGTAGTATCGCTAGCCCCTTTCTTGGATTTGTCGAATCGCCACCTTTCTCCCGCTTGCACTATATGACTACGCCAATCGATCCGATACCTGCTTCTTCCTCATTCTCGTCCTCTCGTCATCCTACCGCTACCAGAGTTACACCTTGGCGACTTCATTTCTCTCTTTGCCCTCGTGCTGTTCGGCTTATCCGCTTGTCCGTTTTCTGCAAACCAACGTGAGCGCCAATCGTTTTCATTCGCGCAGTTTCCAATCCACGTGGAAGATAAAGCTTTTGCAACGGGCAAACTCAATCGAAGCGGGAAAAACGGAGCTCCGGAAATCAGTGAAGCGACAGTCACAATTGTCGCGCGCGCGCGCGCGCACGCACACTCACGCACGCACACACGGCGCCAGACTAGTGCGTTCGCCAAGCAGGCAAGGTAACAAATTTATGCTCACCGAGCAGAAGCAAAGTCCACTCGATTAAAAAGCACCGCTCGCTCGGTCGGAAGATTGAGGAGCTTGCCGACACCGCCTGAGCACTCTTCTTCTTTCTAAAGCCTCGCACGCGCGTATGAATAAATAGCAGGCGAACACGACGATAAGCGACAATATGATATACCACGTGTGTGTGAAAGTTTGAGTAATCCCCGTCGTACGTGTGGCGGTCTAATATCGATCGTTTTTCTCTCACACCCTTACACCGGCGTCAGTTTCCTTTTTTTTTATTCGCGAAAAATCGCTTTAACCACCAGGCAGATTGAAAGCCTTCCGGGGGGGGGGGGGGGAGAGATCTTCATGCAAATTCGGTTTGCCGCCAAATTCTCGTGAGAATTAATCGAGCGACCGATCAAATCAGAGATATGCGCGCGAAACCATTGAAAACTTTTGAAAACGAAAGTCGAAGAGGGAGAGAGTCGATCGAATCTCGAGAAACTATCAAGCTGCCGAGAGACCGAGAAAGAAAGAGAGAGAGAGAGAGAGAGAGAGAGAAAAGTGTTTTATATTCTCCCTTTTTTGCCGTCGTTGTTCAATCCACTCGGCAAGGAGAACCGAGGAAACAGACCCATGAACGCAAACAATGTCACGCGTAGAAGCTCCTCTTCGTCGCTTCCGCCAAAATAAATTTGCACTCTTCCTTGGTAGGATAATAGTCCTTCAGATCGAATATCATATATAAGTTAAGTGAATGAGTCTGCGCGTGTGTGTAAAAACCTACTCTCCGTATACACGTACTTGCACATTTTTTTTCTCAGAGGCATTTTCTTGGTTTTTTGCTTGACGCGAGTCGGATGAAATTGATCGAAAAAAAAAAAAAAAAAAATTCGATCAAATAAAAATAGATTGAATTTGTTGCACTTTCGCGGAAGGGATGAATCTCGAGTACATCGTAGCCCCGCAAATAAATAAAAAAGCACATTTTTTAATTAAACACGACGCAATATTTATACAACGACTTCTCTCTCACTCTCGAGTGCTTTTACTCTTCCAATTTCAATTGCAAGCACTCGAACCCCCTCTCTTCTTTTCAACGGATGTTTCCAAAACGAACGTTTTACGTGATATGTACGCGTTTCGAAAAATAGATTATAAAAGCTCAAGGATGTCGATGTCGAAATTGCGCGTTTTTGATGTGACGAGACGAAAGGGCTTTCAGTTTCAAAAGTTTTGGCAAAATAATCCAACTTCACGTGTGCAATGTCACACTCAATGAATTCAACGTCGCTTCTTGCGTTTGAGCTTGCAAGTGCGAGTTAGCCGTATAAATCTTGAGATACTATTACACGATTTTTCGAAGCTTCATCACATCAACAACAATATGAACGAACTTCGCTGTGAGTATTCTTCGACGAGTTGCCTACAGGTTAATAACATCTCTCAGCGATCTCTCAACAAAGCAACCAATGTCGAAAGCTCGAACTTCCGTCAACCACATCTATTATCGCAAGCTGTCATTCAATCTTGAGAAAAGTCCTCAAAAAAAAAGCTTTCCCAGAGCGTCCACATCGTGCGCGCGCACACATACACACACACACCCGCGCGCGGAGCCCATGACAAGAGGGTCCCGGCATGCGTGTGCAAACGACGCACGCGCGCGCGGCCATACATCCTCAGCTTTCTCTGTCTCGCACACACGCAGCATCCCAAAAACACAGCCAGGAAGATCCGAAGGAAAAACCTACCTTTCGTGCGTCACTTTTCCTCGGGCTTGTATTGCCGCGCCACAGCGGGCTTCGAAAAACGGGCAATTGTCTTTGTAGCAGCCTCACCACCGCGCCGTTCGCACAAACTTGCACTTCAGTCTCGCGGCAGCGAGCGGCGGCGACTGCTGGAGGACGAGAAGACCGACTCTCTCGCTTCTCTCCGGCGGAGGCTGCGCCCGGCGCCTGCGCGCTTCGTTATCTCGGGCCGGCGTCGTCGATGATTATTCCGGGAGCGCCGAGCCGAGAGAACGCAGAAGAAGCGTCTGCAACACTTGACCGTCTTATCAGCCCTTGCGCTCGACTCCTCGTGTCTTTAACCCCTTGTAAGACCGCGACTGTGCATACTTCTCTCGCTCTTTATTCTCGTCGAGGAGAATGGTGACTTAAATTGTCGCGCGGCTTCTACGAGGCTGGGCCTCGTCTGTTTTTTTCTTCATGTGTTCACACCTGACGGATGTGGATTTACAAATCCATATAAGCATATATTTTCGTACATGCTTGAATTCATTTGAAAACTAGGGTATTCGATATACATTTTTTAGATTGATGAATACGTCAGAATTAATTTCGAAGCATTCAAGTTTGAAATTATTCAAATCTCGCCTATAAAAGAGCTTTGCTTTTACTGATATGAACTAATTGTTCAATTTATTACACTAGAAATAACAAATCTCAACAACTATAACAACAATTGATTGTTCATTACGTCAAAATCTCGACATAGCAACAACGTCGTTTGAAGTAAAAAAAAGCCCCTAAACGCACGCTAAGCTTTTGATAGCATAGGATGGGAGAGAAAGAGAGAAAAGAGCTCTCATAAATATTTCCGAAGTACGCGCACAGCCAAGCTCCATTATCTGTGGAAGCACCGGCCCTCCTGCAAAAGAGCACTATATCGCTTGCAAAAAATTTTCGACCTCAGAAGTGTCCCCGTTATATATCTGCGTATGTGATGGGCTATCCTTGAATCGATGTACTTACATTAGTTGTATTTCGATTAATGCAATCCTTTATAGATTTCGAAAGTCTTACTGCAGCAAGAGTAAAACGATTTCTTTTTTGGAGAAAAAAATATGTTTTTTGCGGATTTTGCATGAGTAAAGTCGTAAATAAAAATAACAGGATTCATCAAAATAAATAATGTTACGATATTTTGTATAAAATTTATAAATAAATCTTTAGATTCTCCATTGCCAGTTTTGTAACAATCGTTCATAAGTTTTTTAAATCTTAAGAAAAGTACGTAGATTATATAATATTTCTGATGCCAGCACCGTTTATTCTGACTCTGAATCTTCAGCCATTAAATCATTGTCGTAATCATATTCTATTTCTACGTCTGGTTTGATCGCCAATTCTTGAAGTTCATTATACGTCATCGCTTCTTCTAAAAATGGTTTCATATGCTGTTCTATCGCATATTTTATCAAATGGTCCATTGCAACAATGACTAGTGTTTTAGATTTTGGTCTAAATAAAAATTTAATAGTATTTATATTCTAAGATCAATTCAAGTTACAATTGAAAAATTAAAAGTCGAGATCTTACGTGATGTCGAGTACTTTGAAGCTTACTAAGTTAATTTTTGCTTTATTTTCACTTAATCTTTTCAGTGACATGATGAAATAAGAATTCGACGTTTTGTATGTTTGTTCTTTATTATTTACAGGACTGTCACTTGAGAGTTCAGTGATGTGTAGCTATGTAAACAAATTTATATTTATTAGATTAATATCATTATTTTAAAATCTTTCAAATAAATATTTACCTTCAGATTTCCAAAATCAACTGGAACATGGACTATAACTAAGTCCTCTTCATTTGAAACAATAACATCTTTATCCTGAAAGAAAGATAATGAATCAAACTGATCTATCCAACCTGAACAAACTTTGAGACTCATTTCATTATTTTTTTCAATTAGACAAAAAAATTCAGAGTATTTCAATTTTGGAGATTTTTTAACAAGTAAGGAATTTGTTATGCAGATTATCTTTTCTGATAGATTTTTTAATGCTTTACGTAGTTTTTTGTTGTGAATGCTGAAAAGAAACAAAAAGTTTTATTTGTAGTTTTTATTGTGAAATAATATTTAGTGATTTAGTTTTTATAATTTATAATATTTAGTGATTATATACATTCAGAATTTACCTTAATACGTTTTTCAGTGAGTAATCAGCACCAACACTGTTGCTTACTAGACATTTTATACTGAGCTGAGTTACCATGTAATTTTCAAGAGCTGGGCCCAATTCTTTAGTAATGTATTCTAACATAGATTGTTCTAATAATTTTCCTGAAAATATTTTATCATTATTCAAGATAAGCTTGAAAGTTATTCAAATTTGAGGAATGTTTAAAAAGTTACTTTTATGAATGTCTGATTCTTTTGTAAAAACAGAGATTTCCTTTGAGTTGTCAAAGTACTTGAAAGACAAATCATTCTTGACAAATTTGTACTTGCAATTATCAAAGTCCCATCCATCTCCACAGATTTTCAATCCAATTGTTTGTATCAATTCTGCATTGTTCAGAAAAAGTCTGAAAAAAACTTTTTTTATAATTTAATCACTGAAAATATTTATTTCAACCAATAAATCCTATTTACTCATAAGTTGTTTCGATAGGTGACTTTGAAGTACTGTATATTCTCATTTTCCCTTTCAATTTTCCATCTTTAACAAGAAAACGAGCTATAACTGCAAGTGTTGTTAAGCGTCCTCCAAAATTAGAACTTATATCTACATGTGGATCTTTTTCATAGGCTCCTTCAGTTAGAACTCTTGATAATGAAAAAATAATATTATATTTACTTGTCAAGAATAATTTCAAATTGAAAAATTCAGTTCTAATTTGGATAAAACACACACATAAGATCATTTCCTACTCTGAAAAGTATGTCGTCTATGTAGATTGTTTGGTACTTATTTTTACGACCTTCATTCTTGTACCACATCATCACATGATTTTCCCAATCCTACAAATTAAAAATTTTTTTATTTTTTACAGTATTGACTGATGGTATTTGAAGATACAAATTTTCTAAAAATAAAACTTACATTTTCAAAGAAACACGTAATACCCTCACCAATAAAATCAGTAAGTTCAGCCAAATAATCATGGTAATCAACTAAAACATTTTGACTTTTAATATTTTGTCAAACTATAAAACCAATGCAAAAATATAATTCACTAGTTAAAAATGTATATTACTGAATAAATAATATAGTTCAATGAGATCCAAGCATAAAAAATAAGTTTTTAAATTAACTTACTTTCAACGAGATCCATTGTTTTTTAATCTTTATTTTAATATCACAATACTACTAATGCGATCAATAGATCAGCTGAATTCTGGAGTTGGGTTAGTATTTGGCGCCACATAGTGCACATATCATACGACAGGTATATAGTTACCCATACATAATGGAAAATATTGAGTGTATGATGTATTACAATTACTATAATTAAATAATATATAAATAAAAACCATTAGAGTAAAATTGAAATAATTTTTCTAAAAAAATGTGTAGTTTAGTTGAAGATGTGTTTGAGTGCGAAGAAGATGTCGTGTTAGAGGTGATTATTTACATGGTTTTATGTTCTTTCCTCTATTTTCTTTTTAAAAATGTCTATTTTATTGAAAAACAATTTTAAAGGGAAGTGAATTATATCAAGCCTTGACGAGCATGGGTTATACAAATTTTGATTACATGCCAAGAGTTGATGAAATTAATGCTACTCCAGAATCAGAAGTACTTCCTATAAATGTAAATAATTGTCAATTTTTATTGTAAGTCATTGGTGGTAAATAATTGTTTGCAATTATATTTTTCAGGCTTACTGTTCTTTAAAAGAGACTGCTATTGAGAAGGCAAACTTATTTTGCCATTATGTTTTACAGGTATATTTGCTAATTTCATCACATAGTAATTTAATATTTGAATTAGTATTTGATAGATTTTCTAAACTATGTTTAGGAAAATAAACTAAGTCTCAGACAATTGGAAATTATTTTGAAAACAGAAATTTTACTTGATGATCACGCTGCTATGATAAATGAAATTTACAATAGAGAAAATACTTCTATTAAGCAGTGAGTACTGAAATTTTTTATTATATGATATGTTATGGATTATTAAATTTTCTTTTTTATTTACAGTAAAATTCTCGAATGGTCTCCTCTTATTAGTTCAATGCTAATATCATTTTGTAACCTGGTAACAAAAAAGAAAATTACAGGACTTGCAGTTTCGGCTTCTACAGTATTTGGATATTTGATGTATGAAAAATGCAAGCATTGGAATATGAGAAGAAATCTATGTAATCTTGTACAGTTACAAAATGAACTACACAATTTTATTACACAGTGCCTTAAAACTTTGAGACGTACCCACACAAAAAAGCTATTAATCTTAGATCAGTATGAAAAACAAGAGTGAGTTTATTTAATATTTATCTAGGTTTTGATTATTTTTAAAATCAACTTGATATCTTATTTACAACCTTTTTCATTTTTCAGATTGATAGGGAATGAAAAATGGAATATTATTGTTATAATGAGAAAACTGCTTATAGATATTTTTGAAAATTTATCTTACATTTATTATCAAAAAGCTAGTGAAATATTAGATCTGTTACCAAAATGCATGCGACTGAACTGTATTTTAACTAAGCTTGAATTTGAAACTATCTGTACCAATAATGATGAGTCTTACAATATTTTAAGGGTAAAGAAAATTTAATGAATAATTTAATAGACAAAAGTAATTATAATTTAAAATAAGAATTATATTTACTTAATTTTTCAGAGATTTTACTACACTTTTATTTTGGTACAGTCAGAAACAATGTTCATCATAGCAAGTGCTTATAGTAGTCAAATGGAAAAAGGATTTTTTCGTATTCCAAAACAAAAATTAGCACACACAGTTCAACATTTAATAAGATATTTAAGTGGCTATCATTTAAAACTATTAGAAATTATAAATGCATATCAAGTTTGTGAAATTCAGCCTATTCAAAGGATTTTCAAGTAATAATATTGTTTTAACTTTAATAATTATATAATTCTTATAATCTGTTGAATTAAATTTCTTTATTTACAGAGGTATATCAAACTCAAAATGGCAAGATACTTATATCCACTTAAATTTGACATCTCAAAAGATTCAATTGGCTTTTAGGGAAATCATGTCTACTTTGGAAACTATCGACAAGTTTTCAGAAAAAAATGAGAATGACTTTGATTTAGCAGAGATTATTACAGAAAAAATGAATGAAGCATACAAACAGATTGAAAATGCTAGAAGCTTTGCAGAATTTACCAGTCTTCTTATAGCAAAAGCTCAACATAAACCTAAAAAAAATCTAGATGAAGATCTAGGCAAAGAAGATTTGTTCCCTGTCAGCAATGAAAATAAAAGAGTAATCAATCTTGATGATGAACCAGAAATAGAGGATGAAGTTTTTGAAGAATACATTAAAGAGGAATATTTGAAGCCTTTGTATGAAAACAAAGAGACAAGTATCATTCAAGATTTTAAAATTGATAAGTTGTTGAAAAAAAATTTCATGAGTGAGCTCAAAGAAGCTCTTATTGAAAAACAAAGATCAATGAGTGAGAGGGAACTCAAAGCATTGAAAAGAATGTACAACAAAATCCGTAAAGACTCAAATATTGTCAAGACTGATACAGGTGAGGGTTCATTCTTATTTGAAACACAGTTGAAAATGGAAAAGAAAAGTTGTTATCTTTGTAAATAAATTTATTTCTCTTTGCAGAAAAACTAATAGAAGATACAAAGTTCAACAATGTCTCATCAGTTGCTATTCTAAAACCTTCATATCCAAATCAAGCGTTGCCTCCACCACAGCCATCTCAACGTCGTCAACTTTCAGCACTGCCACCACCACCACCAATACCATCACAATTACCTATTCAACATCAACTTCTACCATCACCACCACCACCATCACCACCACCACTACCACCACCAATACCGTCACAATTGCCTACTCAACGTCAACTTCCACCACCAACTTCTCTACAACCGTATCAGCATCAGTCTACACCACCACCTCCACCACCTCCACCACCTTCGCCACCTCTGCCACCTCCGCCAATTTCAAATAATACAATCATCACCGAAACTGTCGATACAGAATCAAAGACTCCAGTTCCACTTCCAAGATTCAAAATGTTGACGGCCGAAAATCAATTTTTTGATGTTGAAAGATTTTCTATCAACGATTGCACCCAGAATATGGTAAAATTTCATCCTCTCAGAGTCGCAGAAGAGACGTTTATAGGCAGCGGAGAGAATTCGGACGAGGAGTATGTTTCTAAGAAAGACAGCAGCGATAGTGATCATGATATTGCTGAAATGCAATAAATGAATTATCTAAATATTTTGTCAAACTATAAATATATACATGAAGATATTGTACATATTTTCAGAGTAAGAAGCAATTGTAAATATATATTGTAAATATTCACGTCTGGCTTGAAGGCCGTAAAGATCAATTTATTTATTATTATCTGTTTTCCTAAATATTACAATTTTTTACAATATTCAAACCAGTCTTTTCAATGTTATTCAAATTTTCTATCAAAGCGCGCTGTTCCTTCAGTTTTCAATATGGCGATAAATATTTGGCTATTAAAGAAGTATGCGTATGTATATGTGTATGTGAGTGTACGAGGAGTCTCGTGTAAAAGGTTTGGTCGTAGCGTGAGGTAGCCGCCAGGCTCACACTCGGGAGGTTGGTAAGGTAGAAAAAGCGTCTCTTTCCGATGCTACCGACTGGACTCGTCAGTGAGGCTCGACGGCCGGTAACATCTGCCTCATACGCTCGAACGTGCTGCTCGTACCACTATGCGGACTTTTATATTCAGCGAACGTATTTCTTGCAGCTCGTGGCTGGCCGATACCATCTAGATGTGGATGGTCGATCATGAGACTGCCACACATATATACCATGGAGACTACATACAGGAGACGAAGCGGCCTATCCCTGCCTGTGTTAGAGTTTAGGAGCTCCAAGTCCCCCATAAGGTGCCTCACATCCTATAGATATATTTCAATATCTTGCGGGTACTATATAATACTATACCGATAACGCCGACCAGTTACCATGCGTTGGCGCACGTCGATAACTCGAGTCATCATTAGATGGCGCCGTAGCCCTCTAAGGCACTTTGGGGGACTTAGGCTGGAGAATTCTTATACATTGCGCTTCGTCTCCTGTATGTAGTCTCCATCACATATACACTAAACATGGTGGAGCGCTGGACGCCAGAGTTTGTTTTTATATTACCTCCGTAGAATATTTAATGTGTATTTTTATAGTTCTTTTAATTAACGAAGAAGAGTCGTTTTAATTGTTAAAAGTGAAGTATAAAAATGCCCCTTCCCGCTGCGTTAGCTGCGCGTTTAGCAAAAAGAGGGCTAATAAACGGCAAGAAAAGTGGTAAGACATAACCTATATACAATATTGATTTTGCTTTTTAAAAAGTTTACGTTTACTTACATAAATTACATAAATTAATTCCAGATTTTAATAAAGAACCTAAGAAGAAGGTACACGAAGAAGTTATAGCAGAAGATTATGATAATACTAAAGAAGACATTAGTCAGATTGACATTACTCAAAGATTTATGGTACACTAGTTTATATAAATTTTACCTATCAATGGAATGAAAATGACAATTTATTTGATATATATATTTATTGTTTTATATATTGTTATTGTTAGGGATACATTGGCTGCCCAAACAAGTATAACATTTATCATGATTGTACGAGAAAGTGTAAAGAACAATGGGGTAAAGGACACACACAACCTCCTGAGAGGTACTTAAAACGACAATTGAAATTAGTTCAAAAATACCCTCTACCAGAGACATGGAAAGCTATTTATGATCCTGGAAGGTAGATAGAGCTCATTATTATAGTACACGTTGAACATTTATTAATACTTCTTTATTGATCACAGTGGGCAACATTACTATTGGGATTGGTCTTCAGATTTAGTATCCTGGTTTCCACCTGGTCACCCAAAATGTCAAATTTCTCAACCTGCATCACAGTTAAGAGAAGAATTGCATTTGAAAGAAGCTGAGAAAGATGACAATGTGTCAAGCGAGGAAAGTGGCAGTGAACAGGAGCCAGATGAGGTGAGAGAAACTTGATTAATTTAAATCTAATGATTTTTATTAATTTAAATCTAATGAAAATAATTTTTATTACATTTTATTTTTACAGATAAATGAGCCAGACGCCAAACGCGAACGAAAGGACAGTCGAGAAGAAAAAGATCGCGAACGCGATCGAGACCGAGATCGTTCACGAAGTGGTACTGATAGACGACATCGCGACAGACCTGAAAACCGAAATAGTAATAAAAAAGATCGGACACTTGATCCAATGGATCCTGCATCATACAGTGACATACCTCGTGGCAAATGGTCAGATGGATTGGCCAGACAAAACGAAGCAAAGACTGGTGTTGATACTACTGCTTCTGGACCTCTGTATCAGATGAGACCTTATCCGAGTCCTGGAGCTGTGCTTCGTTCCAATAAAGCTGGTGGTAAAGAACAGAGTGATGGAATATCGGGGAAGCCTAAAGTTTCATTTCCTGAGGAACCCGAATAAAATTATATTTGAAACAGTTGTATATAAACTTTGTGAGATGATGAAAGTTTTTTTTATTTAAGAGTTGAAGAGGATATATGATAATTGATGGTGAACATTAAAACTATTGTTGAAAAGAAATATCTATTGATTTTTTGTGTAAAAACTTCTATACCAAATTCACAAAGGTTTTTATAAGCATTTCAAAGTTTCGCATTATAATATTTTTTATTCCTGAAATACGGATTATGAATTTAAAATATTGACAAATTACCATTTACTTTCATACAACAAAAGGTATAAACGTATTCCTTAATAAATTTTAAGTATGCCTTGGCACCTCCACGTCATGATCAGTTTTATAACTATAATATCTTCTATTTAACATGAACTGCAGAGAAGAATATTATTTATAATGTACAGTTAATAGCTTCAACAGAATAATAGTTCTAGTAATGTTTTAGATTTATGAAAAATTATGTTTGGAAGACACCCATTGAGAACTTGTTTATTACATAATTTTAATGATAATAAATAATACTACATAAAAAATACTAGTATGTATAAATATTTCTTCTTATTTAACAAGCAAATACTTGCACATTTTTAATGTTCCCATAAAGCTCAAACTTTGTTTCAGTTCAAGCTATTAACTACACACTATAAATAATATTTGTCTCATTACGGTTATAAAACTAATAACGATGTGTCGGTGCCAAAGTATATCTAAAATTTGTTAAGAAGTACGTTATGTTCCTCGCTATACGTAACAGAAATAAATAACAATTTGTCAGTATTTGAAAATTCATAATGAATATTTTAGGAAAACTCAATTTTATAGTCCAAAGCTACAGATTACATGCATTCACGATGATTGAAAATTGTATTAATACTGACATGAACAAATTTATATAAATATATTGGAATTAAAATGATACTTCCTACATACTTAAAAACTTACTAATCTAAGATTCAAATTAACTAGAAAAGGGTTGATTAATTTAAATGTTACGTCTTATAATTATTCCTCTGAACAGATAAAATTAAGTTATTTATTATAATTTTTCCAAATCGGTATGTAATTCCGATAAACAGTTAATTGATCGATGTAAATTTTTTAAATCTTCGAAACGAGAAAAATGCAGAGTCACCGAAGTAAATATATTGTTCTGTACTTAATGTTGATGTTGATATAATTAATAAAATATTATTAGCTGCTCTTGTAAGATAGGGAATTAAACAAGTTTATTGTATACTAATTTCTTTGTGCTACCTCTTTTAAAATTTTGATTTTTGTTTTCAGATATATTCTACATATAATTTATTGTTAACAAACTTTAAAAATGTTTAAGCATTATTACAATTTATATGTAACTAAATAATAGGAACAAATTAAATCTAAGCCAAAGGCAGTATTAATTAAATTAATAAAATTGTCACAAGCACAACGCTTGTTGATATGTTCGTATATGACGCGAAAAATTAACATGGGTCGTTTCGAATCATAGCTTTTTATTTGTAAACGGAATTACCGAAATTCGTTGGAAGTCATCCTTGGCAAAAATATTTGCAGAAATGTATAAGATCGTTACTTAATGTTTTTGAGGGTTAATGAAATAACGACACTGAATGTCAGAGATATTTACATGTAGTATATATTACACAAAATGAAAAATACTATGTTTACCAAACATACAAGATTCGGGGCGTATTTGAATAAGAAATATGTCAAACGAGCACTCACCGGTTGGCATTTACAATACATTACGCTAAAAATTACATAAAAACAGACAGCTCGATAGCTCGAATCATAAGTGGGTAATAAAAAAAATCTTGTAACGTCAGTCGGTATGAATCGATCAGAGTCTGCGATTGGCGCGGTTCCACTTTTCTGCCTTGCGCAATCGCACTTTTAGCATAAAAGTGAAAAAGTAATGGAAATTGAACTTATTGCTATAGCGCTGAAATTCTTGAGCAAGCGATCTGTGTCCATACCCTTCGTCTCCTGTATGTAGTCTCCATGTTGCTGATGTACGTTTTCTTCCTCTTGGCAGCGCTGGAAATATACCATTCCAACGTAGCCAATGCCTAATAACGCGCGCGGAGCCGACGAGAAGGGGGCCGCGAGGGCGTGGCCACGCGACGTCCCACAGATTCCACTGAGATGGCTGAAGTGTATGATATACAGTATGATTAAAGATACGAATTTTCTGAAAGTAAAATTTATGTATTTAAACCAACACGTCATTTCCTCGCCAATGAAATATGTCATTGTAGTTGTGCTTTAAGGAGGTCTCATTTTGAAGCTGTTATTGTCAACTTTAAATTGAATTGTTTAATGATAAACAATACGATTTCAGCGAAAAGTTATGACAGTTCTCGTTGAGGAATTCGATATTACATTACACTAAAAAAAATGATTTCTTTCGTTTGCAATAGCTCAGATTAAATACAATCAAACAGCTCATGCAAGGTCTCATTATAGTTATTAGTATGTTTTAAAATGAAACCTCGTATACTCAAAAAATCGATTTTTGTAAGAAGTTATGGCTGTTTATTTAAAGAACGCCATATTAATTGTATACATGAAATATTCGAAAAATTGGTAGTCCGACCAACCTACACAAACAACTCTCTTCATTATTTCGGATAAACAATATTTTTACAAAATTTTAAACCGATTCGATTCAAATTACTCTTGTTATCGTAAAAAAAAGGGTCTATTTCCAGATAAATTTTTTTTGCAGAAACTAAACCATAAAAAAGCTTAAACATTACAACATATTTTACTAATAATATGAGACACCTTCAGTAAAATGTTGAAAAAGTTTCATGCACTATTTTCAAAATACGATTTATTTTCAAACGTTTTGTAATATAACTTTGAAACGGGAATAGCTAGAAATACGCCTTTTTTTATGAAGGAAAATTAAATTTATGGAAAACTTCAACATAAAATTGAACGAATATCATGCATCAGCTCAAAGATATTTAAAAAATCAAATTTCATTATTTTTTAATTCTCCGGCCGAAAAACAGGTACTTTTCACATACTCGGACAAAAGCGTGTGTTCAAAGTCCAGCTTTCCACAATCGTATGCAAATAGTACATTACGAAACAAGTGCGGGAAAGTAGATTCGTGACTCGTGTGTCGCGTTTACGCCCAAGCGAAGAGAGAAAAATTTCTTCAAATCTGTGTCCTTAATATAAGGATCTTTAAATGAACAGCTATAACTTTCAACTTTAAAACGAAACCTAACACGAGTAATATGATGATATATAATCTAAGCTACTGCAATTTTAAATAGAAAAAAACATTGTAAAAAAACCAAATAAGCAAAAAAAAATTCAATTATCGTCGGTATCGTCATAACTCACACTTGCATAACTAATACTCTCGTTCATATATTCCAACACATCATCGTTATATCTCCCCGTTTCCTGTCTTCCGTAATTAAAAAAACATTATATCCAAGACCCAAGTATATCAAACTATAAAATATGTGACAAATAATACCGCAGCCTCGAGATCACAGTTTTGCACGGTAAAATTAAATTGAACACTAAGAAATTTCTAAACAATTTTTTAAAGCTTCTTTTTATAGATGTTTCAATATTCACAATATTTTGGCATTAACATTAATACAGCATCCCATATTTGCGATTTGCAATTAGTAACTTTTATACGCTTGAAGTAATGACAATGATCTGATTTTTTTGAGCACAAGCGTTATTTAGCACCCTTCGCAAGCTCTATTGCTTTTTTTCTATTATCTATATTATCTATTGGTGGAACGGTAACATTCCGTTATCATGCAATCATATCTAGTCAATATCAGTAGTTTTCTAAGACCTCGGTATTATATATAATAATATTAGTAATACATTTCAACGTCGAATATTCTCTTGTTTCCTTTTTGAAAACACCCGTGAACTTTCTTCAAATTTAATATTCTAATAATTTGTTTCCCTTTCCCGCTAAACACTTACTTTACAAATGCAAAAGGTACGACTAATGACAAGTACTTGCGAAAAGTGAATAGATCAAAATATTCGAGACATTCGTCAGCGAACTATGTTATTTCATATAAAAAAAGCGTTTGGCTGACCCTATGACTTCAAATTTCTTATGTGGCCTGTTAAAAGAATTGTTTAAACGGTTACAAAACGTTCATTTGCAGCGTCAAGAAAATTTAAAATCTGCCACGTACTCCTTATTTAAATTTTTTCAAATCAAAATACAATTTTGTTTGAGACTCCTCGAATGTTTCTATGTGGCGGATATAATTAAAAGTAGAACGTCCGGAAATTGAACGAAGATTTGCGTTTATTAATTTGAAAAAGTAGTTTAGAAATCGAACGAAAAGACTAAAAACGATTACTTCATTGTGATATCTTTGACCGTTCGATCCGCGAAGGTGGCGCAATGTAAATTTCAATGTTCTGGTAGACATTTCTTGCTTCGGTGACAAACCAATTGAAGTGGGACGCATTGCATTGCACTTACCTCTGCTCGTGTGACGATCGGGTAGAGAAATCCCTCGGCGCGAGGTTCACCGCCACCTCGATCTGCAACGGGAAGATAAATGCAGCTGTCGGTCGCCCAGTTGCACTCGTGGGGAATCGTCGAGCGAACGGTGTCCGGTGCACTTACCTTACTTACAAAAGCGAACATTGAGATTCGTAAGGAAGTCATCCTTGGCAGAGATATTCGCAGAAGGGGTGTTTTTGAAGTTTAAATAACAACAAGGAAATTCGAATAACAGACATATATTTACATATTAATTACAAAAAACGAAATGAAATTACAATAAATAAAAATACAGTTTATTATCTATATATACAACAATCTGCGCAGATCGGGATAAGATATTGAGATAAGGCATTAAGCACTAAATCGCTTGTCATTTACAAAACATTAAGCTAAAGGTTACATAAAAATCGACAGCTCGGAAGCTCGCGTCACGGTACACTAAAGAAATTGTAAAATCACGGCGATATCATTTGGGGGTGATTGACCAGGCTCCGCGACAGCTCTTATTCAACTTGTCTGCCTTGCGCAATTGTTTCTTCAGCGCAAAGACAAAAAAATAATGGTACTGGTACCGAGACTCAACGTGTTGCACCAATTCGTCGATGTTCACGTGCAACACGTGTGGCGCGATTGCTTCAATACTGCCCGTAATGGCAGTAAATAGAGTCAAGGATCCTATTAATTGCGTGCACTTCATGTCCGTTATTTGCATGTGAAAACAGTGGTAGAAATCCATACACCTTTTATTGCTATCCATACGTTTGCGCACGGCTGGTTCAATCTGCACGCCCAACGCCTCGCTCAACACCAGCTGGGCAATTATTTGCTCTTGCAAAACCAAGCAGAAGGTGTTGCTGAAAGGATCAAAACGCGGATCCTCCGGATGGAGCACGGGTCGAATATCCGCCCCGTTCTGCAGAAGCAGCATCACTACTTTACGTCGCGAATGTCTGACTGCTTCTACAAGGGGCGTTCGACCGCGTCTGTTTTTAAAATCGACTCGCGCGCCCCTTTGCAACAAAAATCGCACGTTGTCTACCGAGTCTATTGTCACGGAGAAGTGCAGTCCGGTGTATCCGAATGCTCCTCGGGCATCCGCGTCGAAGTCCCGATTGAACATCACGAGTACCACGCGGATGTTGGTATTACCAAATATGTGAGCAACTAGATCTTCCCCGTACTTTTTTTTAAAGGATTCGTGAACCCTGCCATCTAACAGTGCCCCTACGCAGTATTCGTTACACTTATTAAATACAGCGCGAAAAAATTCGAATGTATTCTCGTTGACAAGGTTCCACGAGTATAGATTCTGCAAATAGCTTAAATTAATTTTACCGTACATAGAAGATCCAGTACTTGCCATATCCACAGCTATCTGGCAAAACACAACCGCGTCTAACACAGCCCACTTAAGACCACGGTCCACGAGAAGGCAAACGGTATCGGTGTCTCCACTTAACATTGTATGCTTGAGCGCATCGTGTAGTTCCTTGGCATGATCTATGGGCCTGACATCCAAGAACATTGTTGTTAGCGTGATGCTCTTGAAGTACGTCACAATTTCAAGGTGACACTCCGCTCTGGCCAAAAGCATAGCTTTCGCGTTTGTCTCTAAATTGCAGTTGCGCAAGGCATGTACAGCGCGTGCAACTATCGCAGCCGGAAGACTGGATGACCGGTCGAACATCATTTCCAAGACCGTCATATTGGAGATGGGGTCGACGGCGTACACGTCTGCCTCGTGATCCAGCAGGACGATCGCAGCGTCGAATTGGTCAGAATTGAGAGCCAGCACGAGCGGAGTGGCGCCGGCCTGGTCCTTTCCGTCCACGTATATTCCCGCAGCCAAAAGATCCTCCAGGAGACTCACGTCGTTTTCCTGGACTGCAACGTGCAACGGCGTGCCGGCGGACATGATCGGACGAGTTCTGGTTCTGCGGATGCGAGTGCAGGTAAAATCACAAAAGTATGCTGGCGACCGAAGGCACGAACCACTTAGGGAGTACGTAGCGCTCAAAAGTCAAACTACAAATGACGACTTTTCTCCTGCTTGCTTCAGATAATATGAACAGGAAATATAGTTCCGCGGATGCAACCCCGAAACTCCAAGACTCCGACCCAGCCAATAGCCAATAGCGAGGGCGGTACCTCCGAGAAGGGTCCCCACTCCAGCCGGGAGGGGGTAACCATGCGATGTTCACCCTCTGGCTTCTCGACTCGTCCATCGCTTTTCTGTTTCTCTCGCTTCAGGAGGCTGAAGCTCAGGTGGGGGCCAAGAGACGCGTGCGTTCCTCCGCGAATGGCCCTCTGGCACGTTATCTCCTCCTTTGTTTCGATAAAGTGGAAGATGCAATGGTCCATTTGCTTCGACACGTATGACCGCAGCTACAACTTTTGCATAAAGCAGATCCATCAAATTCATATCAACTATTCTTTGATTAATTTTTAAACTC